TGAAGTCAGCTAATTTGACCCTAAAATTTATTAAGTGTTATTTTGGGTTTCCTGAGATGGCATATCTTGGATTTATGTTATCGGCCGACGGAGTACGTTCGGGTGAACAGAAGATGGTAGTTGTACAGCACTTTCCAAGGCCACAAAATAAACAGGAAGTACAAAGATTTTTGGGTTTATGCGGATTCTTCAGAAGGTTTATCACACATTATGCGCAACTGGTACTACCAATCAATGAATTACTGAAAGAGAAGGTAGCGTTTACTTGGACAACATCACAAGAGACTTCATTTCAAACTCTGAAGAAGAAACTGGTTAGTAAACCTATATTGCAACTATACAATTCGACAGCTCACACCAAATTATATTGCGATGCCAGTAGTGTCGGGATAAGTGGTATGTTACTTCAACGTGGTGACAACGGACACTTACATCTAGTACACGCTGTATCGAAGAAAACCACATCGGCGGAGGGAAACTACCACTCTAGCAGACTGGAACTAATGGTAATAGTTTGGAGCATGACTAGGTTACGTCAACATCTTATAGGTATAAAGTTTATAGTTATGACCGACCATCAAGCGATAGTGCATACCCAAAAGACCGTTCAACTCCAAATCGCAAGATGGGCCTTTTGACCCTTTTAACCCTTTTGAGTGAATTTAATTTTGAAATTAAACACCGCCCAGGGACCAAGATGGAACACATTGACGCGTTAAGTCGAGCGCCGATCAACCCTTCAGAGGACACCGAAGTGGAGGTGCTGGATAAACGGTTAGAGGTGCTTATTACTATGAGTGAAGAAGAACAGGTTCTGGCGATGCAACGGACTGACGCCGCCCTGAAACACATCGTGGAGATCTTAAGTCGAAAGGATTTAAGTCGTACACAATCGGAAGCTGAATTAGTCAAGGACTATTGTCTAGAGAAAGGATTACTGTATAAAAGGGTCGCTGTTGATGGGAACACCAGAAAGTTGTGGGCAGTACCAAACTCCATGCGAAAGAGTATCGTGATGCGGTTTCACGACCTAGCTGGACATTTCTCTGTGGAACGTACTGTCCTCAAGATACGAGAAAAATACTACTTCCCACGGATGCGGCGTTATGTACGTATACACATAAAGTGCTGCCCCGAATGTATTTTAACGAAGGTGCCACGGGGAAGACAACCGGGAGAACTGAATCCGATCGAGCCTGGAAGGCGCCCTTTGAAACTGTTAATTTGGACCATGTAGGCCATGTAGTCAACGAAAGGAAACAGGTATATCCTAGTGTTAATTGATAATCTTACTATATTTGTAAAATTGTACCCAGTTAGAAGTTGCGGCACCGAAGAAGTGACTAACAGTTAGCGGCAGTTCATTCTAACATATGGTTCGCCTAAACGGGTTATCAGCGACCGAGGGATGGCGTTCACATCCAGGGCGTTTGGGAACTTCTGCTCTCAACATGGGATCAAACACATCCTAAACTCGGTGTGACACCCGCAATCTAACGGACAGGTGGAGAGGGTCAATATTACCCTGATATCTGTCTTGCAGGCTAACATGGAATGTGACAATAAATGGGATAAACTTGTATTGGAGGCTGAATATCAGTTAAATAGCGCGTATAATAAAACACTTGGGGATACACCCTTTCATCAGTGGCGCATCCAGGAGTGGGGTTAGGGGGTTATAACCCCCCTCGAAAATGTTTAATGTATGTATATTGTCTATTGATTATAATAAAAACACAAAAAATTCAAAAAAAATTAAATGGCACATTTTTTATAACCCTTTCCAAAAAAAATTTCTGGATACGCCACTGCCTTTAATGTACTATTTAGTTATCGACCAAGTTTTAAGGATAGCACACTACATCATTTGATTACAGAGTATACATGGGATGACACTGAAGGACTCCAAAACAACATTCGTGAGAAGATTACTGTAGAACAACAGCGATGGAAGGAGAGGTATGACAGCAGATATGCTAAATCAGTTATATACAATGTAGGTGACATGGTTTTTATAAAAAAAATCACCAGATGTAACCGGAGATTCCACCAAGTTGCAGTCAAAATACCAAGGACCTTTGGTAGTCACAGAGGTGGCATCCAAAGATGTTTACCGAGTTGCAGGACTGAAGGCTGAAAATGGCAGACGGTATTCAACCACAGTACATGTATCACACATAAAGGGTTATCATCTACCCGAAACCGATGACGAAGCGGAAGAGACACAACAGAAGAGCAGGAAGAAGAACGATCACCGATGGAAGAACTTGAGAGAAAGGAAACTATCACAGGAATGGACCATGATCCTGGAGAACCGAGACGACCAGCAAGGAACCGTAAACCACCGGTGTGGCATGGTAGCTACAATATGAAGCGATAAGATAGTTGACAAACTTGTTATTAAATAACTTATTTTAATTTGTTATTTATGTATAAAAAAAAAAAAATGTTTATATAATTATTAAAATTTAAAAGGATTTAAATTGTAAGCGTGAATGTGAGTGAGGACACTCATGGGTCAGGAAGACCGAATGTTATAAAAAAAAAAAAAAAAAAGGAAGAAGAAAATATTGTAAACGTACTGGCACTGTTTCCTTTGCGATGGGAGTACAGTCGGGAGTGACGGTAAGAGAGAGAGAGTAGTGCGCGGATGACCGTTGAGTGAATTGTTCATGTAATACTAAGTGTTAATTCTTGTGCGTTTTCTTTGTGTAAAAGATAAAATTTCATATAATATATAACATAAATATATATACATATAACCCGAAAACACCTTTTCGTTTACTTAAAATCATGATCAAAATTTACGAAAACTCGAAATATGTAGGTACCCGTCTACACGTGGCACACATAAAAGTTAAAACATAAAAAAATACATACTGTTGACTAAATCACTAAATAATAATGTATACTGTATAGATAAACTACGTTATTTTTGATTTGATGATTTGATTATTATTGGTTGTCCTAATTTTATCAATCATAATATCATAGAGCACATTATTACATGGTACAATAATGCCACAGAGTATACTCTGTGTATAATGCTAATATCATTGATTATAGAATATATTCTATAATCAATGCTAATATTGAATCTATAAAATTAATGTCGGTTATCTTTGTTTACCATTGTGAATATCTAACAGTGCTGCAGCCTACTGCAGAGTCGACCAGCTGTTTGTGGTTGGGGGGATGACAGGTTGAGGAAAACAAGTTACAGAAATCTTTATCACTTTCGTAACCAGAATAAAATACAATTATAATTGATTATTGATTATTATATATCCTTTATATCCTCATTTATTACATATTAATAATATGTAATAAAAAAATTGAAACCAGGATCACAGGATTCCATTTGTTTATACGGCGAAAAAAAATTGAATTCAGGCTAAAATAGTGTTTGGAAATTTTAGATATGCACTGGCATACCCTGCTTATCTCAAATGACGTCCCTGCATTATTTTAATGTTGTTAAACACTGCAAAACTTCTAGGGTCCAACCAGTTCAAGTCTTTTTATAAATTTTCATTTCCATGAATCGTGATTATAGTATCATATTTTAATTTATTTTATGGAGATATAATTCTTGATTCATCACACTTTTGCCTAAAAAGTTTTTTGTTTTGAAATACTTTTTATCTTCAATATTAATTAAATCTTCTTCATAAAATGATTATTTATTTTTTTACAAAAATTTCGACATTTTTTATACAAATTTAAAACATACTCGTAATTTCTTTTTTTTTTCAATTTCTTTTTTTAAGGCAGCTATCATATTTAAGGCTGATAAATAATTAATAATTTTCGTTTGTAAATAAATAGATACCAGAGTTGTGGTTGAATAAATATCAAGCAATAAAATAGATGTACAACTAATTTCAAATCTTGACCAATTACTAATTAATGATTTAGCAATGAATTTGAATTGTGTATTGAAATTTCCACGACAAACATTTAAATTACTTAAAAAAATAGTTCAACTTTATTACCACAAGTTCTTTGCTAGGTTGGTCTCGATCTAAATTACATTTTGACAAGCTGTTTTCTTGATTAGTTTCTTTAATTTATGTTGAAAAAATGAAATAAAGGCATTTGACTGTTTTTTCATTTTTAATTTAATAATTTAATATGTAATTTAGTAATATAATAAATTAACACTATCACACAATACACATCCACAGTTAAATAAAAATTATATTATTTTATTATTAATATTATGTTCGACAAACGTTTTTGAATTGTTTTTATGTAGGGGTGCAGCTTTATGTTTTCATTATAAAATAACAATTATATCTACTTGAATGATATGGCAGTCACGATTAGTAAAAAAAATGATTTAGATATAATTACTATCAGTCAAATCAATATTATAGTATTGAATATACTTATTAGTTAAAGGAATATTTTATTCATATTATTCGGATGTTTAACTCGAATAGGATGATTAAGCATGAAACAATCGAAGAATTTTTTCTTAGAAATGCAATTGAAATTGAAAGTAATCCTTCACAAATGAGGTGATATGCAAATGGAAGTATTAAAATTCGAATTTATTAATTAACATATATATGTATGTTTTAAATTGTGAATTGTAATTTGCAAATATAGGTAACAATCAATTCTAAATTATTAATTAGTAAATTAATTATAGTAAAATAAGACTGTTTTATTTATCTAAATAATTCTTTAAAGAAAGAACACATTTAAATTGTGTACTTGAACATTGAACTATAGATAAAATAGTTCAGCATTATCGCGGCTAACGAAAATAATTAGTATAATGTAATATTAAAATGTAATATATGCTGTAAATAATTTCTATAGAGAATAGGGAATGTATCCGTTTCTATTCAACGCCCATTGTATTTTTGGACTTAGAAAATAATTGTAATTGAAAAATAATATCGATTATAAAAATGTGATTCTCAAGGCGATATTATTAACTGCGTAATCATTTATATTCAGTTTGGTTAACTATTTTATTGTACTATTTATAACGTTTGTTGTTTACTACACTGTAGCTTTGAAGTTTTCCCGCCACCCAATTTTATCGCTCTCGTTCTATTATAGAAGTGTGCTTCTATGGCATGTAATACTTTAGTACGTTACAGGTGGACCTAGGGTTTACGAGTGGAATTTGAAATGTGGTTCTTGACTATTTGACTTTTACAAGTCCGTGTTTTCTTAAATATTTGAAGTTATTTTGTACATTTTGGTACTGTATTTTAGATATTTAACCGATTTAAGAAATTCATTTTGATAGATTATTAAACTATTCACTTGGGAAGTAATAAGATATTCAGGTAAATTCTTATTGGAATGAATAATTTAAGACTATAACAAATATTTTAATGATTTTAGGATGACTATTATACAATATTTTCGAAAGGTACAGAATTTACCAATTCGAGAATCTCATAAAATTTCGAATCTCAAATTAATATCAAGCGATATATATGATGTTCAAATTGAACAATGTTTTTACATAGACATTGGTAAGTATACAGAATTATCCAAAGAGGAGTCAAAAAAACTGGAATGGTTGTTAATGGATCCATTTGATCATACTGGACTGTCTCAAAGGAAATTTCTCCATAAAAAAAATAATAGCATTTTAATTGAAATTGGACCCAGGTAATTAAAGTATAATTTATAATCCTTTTTATTATCTGCTTAATGAACACATATTTATAGTGAAATAATTTAATTTGTAGATTAAATTTTTCTACACCTTTTTCAAGCAATGTTTTATCAATTTGTAAATCTATCAATTTGAATTTTGTTAAGCGTCTAGAAAAATCAACTCGATATTTAATTAAGTTTAAAAATAACCACAAATTGACAACTGAATTAAATTACGAGGTTTGTTATAAGATAATACATTTATATTGTTTTATTCAACATTTTGTTTTTAATTTGAATGATTTATCTTACAATTTTCTAGTTAACATCTGTATTGTATGATAAAATGACGGAAACAGTTTATTTATCTCCTTTAAAATCTTTTAAAAGTCAAGATGTTAAAGAAAGTTGGTATGAAGTTGATATAATCGGTAAAGGTATTGAAGCTATGAAGGAAGTAAACTTAAAACTTGGTCAGTAAAAATATAAGTATTTTTCTTCTTTTTTATATAAATATATAAATTAGTAATTGATACTTTTATTTTATTATATATATATATATGTATTATTAACTATCAATTAAAATGGTTATAATCTTTAAAATATTTTTTTATGCATTCAAATAACAATAAGTAAATGTATAGATATCTGTAGTATAATAACTTATTGTAATTTATATGCTTTTATTTATAAAATTCTTCTGAATCTAATTAATATAAATGTAATTATAGGTTTGGCATTTGATGAATGGGATATTGAAAATTATACTAATATGTTTTTAAAATCTAACCGAAATCCAACCACTGTAGAATGTTTTGATCTAGCTCAATCAAATTCTGAGCATAGTCGACATTGGTTTTTTAAGGTACTTTAAATGTTTTCTTATTGTCTTAATTGATCAACATTGATTTTTGTAGGGTGAATTAATTATAAATGGAGAATCAGTACATAATTCATTATTAGATATGATAATTGAAACACAATATTTTTCAAACCCTAATAATGTTATAAAGTTTAATGACAATAGCAGGTTTGTAATATTATTAATTGTAAAATATTTGATTGATGACTATTTATTAATTCATTTTTATAGTGCTATTAATGGATTCAAGGTTAAACAAATAAAACCTTCTAAATCATTTGAGCCTAGCTTTTATATTTCTGAATCATATAATTTTAATTTGGTTTTTACTGCAGAAACTCATAATTTTCCAACTGGGGTTGAACCATTTAGGTATTTTATTTAAAAATTATAAAAGTTGTATAAAAACCAAATTTCCAAACATATAATTTTTATAGTGGCGCATCAACTGGTACTGGAGGAAGAATTAGAGATGTTCAAGCTGTAGGAAGAGGTGGATTTTGTATTGCTGCTTCAGCAGCATATTGTGTAGGAAACTTATTCATACCTGGTAAGTTATTGTTGTTGTTATATTTTATTTATTATATAACTTCTGAAAGTCAATTTTCAGTTTTATTTGTTGGTTGTAATTCAATAGTGTCAAATTGTATTTTATTGGGAAATATGAAATTTTATATTGTATTTCAGATTATGATTTACCATGGGAAGAAAAATCATTTATTTATCCTTCCAATTTTGCTAGCCCTCTTAGAATACTTATTGAAGCTTCTAATGGTGCCTCTGATTATGGCAATAAATTTGGTGAACCTATTATTAATGGATTTGTTCGTTCATTTGGCATGATAGTAAATAATGAACGCCGTGAATGGATTAAGCCGATTATGTTTACTGGTGGTTTGGGTACAATGTTGGCAGAGTATACTACTAAACTTACACCATATGAAGGATTACAAGTTGTGAAAATTGGAGGACCTGTTTATAGAATTGGTTTAGGGGGAAGTTCTGCTAGTTCATTTGAAGTTCAAGGAGTAAATAAAACTAGTTTAGAATTTGAGGCTGTTCAAAGAGGTGATCCAGAAATGGAACAGAAAATGAATAGAGTTATTAGAGCTTGTATTGAAAATCCTGGATTTAACCCTATATTAAGTATCCATGATCAAGGAGCTGGAGGAAATGGTAAATCACAAAAATATTTTAATTTGTGCTAATTGTTTTTATTGTTTTTATTTTCTATTATATTTATTTGTTTATATTTTTGTTTTAAGGAAATGTGTTAAAAGAAATAGTTGAACCAGCTGGTGCTATAATTTATGCAAATAAATTTGAACTTGGAGATCCTACAATTAATGCTTTAGAGCTTTGGGGTGCTGAATACCAAGAAAATAATGCTATTCTTTGTGATAAAAAAGATTTAAAATTGTTAAATAAGATTTCTTTGAGGGAAAGATGTCCAGTTTTACCAGTTGGTGTTGTTACTAATAATGGAAAGGTGATCTAAAATGTTTTTATTTTGCATAGTAATATTTTTATTTTAAAATTCAAAATGCTTTTTATTACTTAATTAGGTGTAGTAGGTATAATTACATTTTTTTTTTTATATATAATCTAGGTTATTTTAACTGAAGATGATGATATTATTTCTGAAAATGGAAAATATCCAGTCAATTTAGATCTGGATATGATATTGAGTAAAGTACCTCGTAAAGTTTTTAAGCAGTCATGGCAACCAAAATTAAATACACCTATTATATTATCTAACCTAACTATTATTGAAGCATTGGATAGAGTGTTAAAACTTCCATCTGTAGCTAGTAAAAGATATTTGACAAATAAAGTTGATCGTTCTGTAACTGGTCAAATAGCACAACAGCAATGTGTTGGCCCATTACATACGCCTCTAAGTGATGTTGCTGTTACAGTTGTTTCTTTATTTGATACTGTAATAAAATTAAATAATTATGTTAATATTTTTGATATTTAAACATATGACTGGATATTTAAAGGTTGGAATAGCAACTTCAATTGGTGAACAGCCTATTAAGGGATTAATCAGTGCAGATATTGGAGCTAGAATGGCAGTAGCGGAGTCATTGACTAATTTAGTGTTTGCACCAATATCATGTCTAGAAGTATTTATTATACTATAAACATAAAGTTCAAAAATTATTTTGATTTTAATATTTCCTTTTTTTAAATCAAGGATATTAAATGTAGTGGAAATTGGATGTGGCCTGCCAAATTACCAGGAGAAGGAGCAGAATTATTTTATGCATGTAAAGCTATGTGTGAAGTCATGAAACAACTTGGAATAGCTGTTGATGGTGGTAAAGACTCTTTAAGTATGGCTGCTAAAGTTGGTGAAGAAAACATCAAAGCACCGGGTAATAAATTATTATTATTATTAAATTTACTTTTATAGATACATAATATTACTTTTAATTTTTTTTTAGGTTCTTTAGTTATCTCAACCTATGTACCATGTGAAGATGTACGTTTAGTTATAACGCCTGATCTTAAAGGACCAAGACAAAATTGTGAAAATAAAGAAGCAAGCTATCTTATATTTGTAGATTTATCTGGAGGGCAACGAAGACTTGGTGGTTCTGCTTTGGCTCAATGTTATGGACAAATTGGCGATAATGCACCAGACTTAGATGATCCAAGCCTGTTGAAAAAAGGATTTAAATCTATTCAAAAATTAATAAAAAGTAAAAATAGTTATAATTTATGAAAAAAGCCTTAATTGAATAATTAAAATAAAACATTGGTTTTAGGCAATAAAATATTATCTGGTCATGACCTAAGTGATGGTGGATTAATAACATGTATCTTAGAAATGGCTTTTGGTGGTTATTGTGGAGTCCATATGAATTTGAACAAAATTAAATCTGTATCGTCTGTGAATAATATGGAAATATTATTTGCTGAAGAATGTGGTTGGATTTTAGAGGTAGATGTTAAATACATTGAAGAAGTACTTTTGGAAATAGATGTACCTACATATATAATTGGTCGCACTACAACATATGGCAACAAATCTCGTGTATGATTTTTATCAATTTATTTTTCTTCTTGAATATTAACTTTTTGAATTTTCAAATATTAATATTGGCATTAGTTTTATGAATAATTAATAAGTTATTTTGATTTTTAGATTGTAATAGAAAATTCTGGAGAGATATTACTTGACATTAAACTAACTGAAGCATTCAAAATGTGGGAAAAAACAAGTTATGAGTTGGAAAAAATGCAATCAAATATAATAACAGCAGAAGAAGAATTTAGTTCATTAGAAAATCGATTTGGTCCTATTTATTCTTGTAATTTTGAATTGAAAAATGCTACAGTTATATCAGGTAGGTTATATTATTTTCCAATTTAGTATAATTTATTTTTATTATTAAATTTTTCGTATAAATGTTTAAACATTTTTATACATCATATCATATTGATGCTGTTTTACTTTTTCTTTAACCATATGATACATACCACTTTGGCAGACTTAAATGAATACATTATTTGTATTTTATTAAAGTTATTTCATTATATCTTTAATAAATTTTAAAAATATGTAGTTTTTTTGTAGTTTTTAGTTCATGAAAATTCTGATAATCAATTTGTTTCCTTAAAAAAGTTCTTTTCAAATAAAAAATATTAATAAATAATTTAAGGGACTCGAACTCCTTTAAGTCACATATGTAAAACTTATTGTATTTTATGTCAAGTTATTTATTTGAATGCAATGCTGCACTAAAAAAATAACATATTTTTTATAAGTAATGGTTAGCAATAGATGATTTTATATGTATTCAAATTTAAACTAAAATTTCAATAGATAATCTAGGTTTTCTATTAAAATAAATAATTGGTTAATTATATTATATTAATTATATAGATATATCAGTGAAAGTAGCTGTTATTAGAGAAGAAGGAACAAATGGTGATCGAGAAATGAGTGCTGCTTTGTTTATGGCTGGATTTGAAGTATGGGATATTACTGTTCAAGATCTATTAAATGATGCAGTTACTGTTGAAAAATTTAGAGGTTTAATTTTTCCTGGAGGATTTAGTTATGGAGGTTAATTATGATATTAATAAAAAAAATCATATCCCTCATTTTATTTAAATTATATTTATTATTTAGATGTATTGGGTTCAGCTAAAGGATGGGCAGCAAGTTTAGCATTCCATCCTAATGTTAAAAAAACCTTAGAAAATTTCATGTCTAAAAAAAATACATTCAGCTTAGGAGTATGCAATGGCTGTCAACTAATGTGCAATCTTGGATTAATTGGTAAAATATTTCTTAATTTTACCACTTGTACAACATATCTACAAAAATGTACATGAATTAACTTTAGGAAAAATTAATGAAAATAATTCTTTAAATATTGATGATCCTCCTATAATAATGTGTCATAATAAGTCTGGAAGATATGAAAGTCGTTTTAGTACTGTTAAAATCAATCCTTCTAATGCGATTATGTTCAAAGATATGGAAGAAAGTATTCTTGGTGTATGGATTGCTCATGCTGAAGGTTAGTACTTTCTAAAGTATTATAGTTTCCTTGGTCCCTTGTCTACAATATTAGTTATAATAGTTAGAAAAACTGAAAAGTAACTATGAAAAAATATTTAATTTGGTTTTACTTAATTAATACTATTTTAGTTTCGGCGAATGAGAAATGTATTGGTTAGATTAAAATTATGTGTTTTTTTACGTGTTTCTGTACACGATTTCAATCAGAAGGATTACTCTGATTATCATAATTATAGGAGATTTCTGACGGGTAATGTTATCTTGTTGATACTTTAAAGGGGATCATTTTATGAATTTCCCAACAGTTTCCTTTGTAATTGCGAAAAACTAACGAAAAATTATAAAAATCCGCAACATTTTTTAATTATATTTAAAAATCGCAATAGTTTTCTACTAAATAAAATTTTTATTTTCATCGTAATTTGAAAAATAAGAATCTTAAAAACTTAAAATTTTTACTGCAAATTTCAAAAATATTTATTTTTCTTGTAAATAAATAAATTGAAAATGTACATTTATTTTTTATATTTCTTCCTGATTAAGTTGAGCTTAATTTCAAAAACAAATTTTATAATTTTAATAATTTTGAATATTAAATATTGAGAAAACGATCAAATTCACAAATTCACGAAAATCCTGAACATCTTTGTAATAAAAAATGTATATAACTTTTACTTGAAAATTGAATACATTTTTTTTTTTTTTTTAATTTACAGTCTGTAGCCAAATTTTTACAGTAAGGAAATTAGATATCTATTTACATTATAATATAATATCATAAGTGGTGTATTGAGGAAAAAACCTATTGGTTACAATTTTTTTGTTAATTTAATAGATCTCTACATAATTTACGTTTTAATCTGTGTGGCGGATTTTTCATAAGAGTGGCCGTGAACATATGTGATATTAGATAATTGCTATGCGTGTTTAAATTTTTATGGACTCTAAAATGTAGGATACAAAATGTACAGAATTTTCTTTGCTATTAAAAAAATGTATTACTCGAAAGTCGCAAAAAAGTTTTATAAGTGTTACAAGATGAAATTTTTATAAAAATAAATATTTTAACAAATTTATATTAAACCTTATTAGTTATTATGTTATTATTCTATCAATATTAATTGCGTTGAATCCCAAAATTAACTGAGTACTTATATTAGTATTTTAATAACATTTCATACTTAAAAAATATTTTAATGAAACGCATGTTGTTTATAGACATTTAAAATTGTTCATGCATTTTTGTAAAAGTTTGAACATTAAAAGTTCAGCTTATTTTATAGAAATTTGCTTTTACTACTTTATCAATCATATTTAGATATATAAATGGGCAAAAATGTTTGAACATCGATATTCGATGTATGGATACATCGATTTTTAAAATATTGGTATGTTCGATGTATCGTTGAAAAACCATCGAAGTTTATAAACATCAAAAAAAATTTTTTCCCTCTAGAGCTGCCATCTGTTGCACACCTTATTATCTGTATAGTGTACTATTTTCTTGATCAAATAATAAATTTAAGAGTTAAAATACTGTTGTTTAACTTATATTTTTTAAAAACATATTAAATACTAAAAATTAGGTCTCGTAAGTTCATGCATTTGCATTTTTTCTTTGCTATCTCGGAAAATTTGCTAATTGAGATAAAAATCCGTTTCATAACAATGGTAATAAAAATTTTAAGTTTAATAGAGCATGTTTTTGCATGTTTTATGTATATTGGCATATTTGGCATATAGTTGATTTTTTTTGAGTTATTAGCTCATATTATTTTATGTAAATTCAGCGAAATTGTTTTTTGTGGAAGTTAAAAAAATATTAGCTCAATAAATGTTTCAATTCATTCTTATTTACTTTTCCGAACTTGTTTTAAAAATCTTAGTATTTTATTGATATTTTTATTTTTTAGTGACATTAAATTTTATAAGTTAAAAGCAGTACCACAAAAACAATTTTATTGCGCATCACTACCACTCTCCTCTTTTTGACGTGTTTATTGCAATCTGTCTATTTTCGTCGTGACGTGTGTTTATTAATTATAATTTTAATAAAATGTAACCGAAGAAAAAATAAAACTTTTAAAGAGACAAGTAGATAGTTCTTATTATTTAAAAAAAATCCTTAAACGTTTTTTTTTTTTTCGTGCATATTATTACATACTTATTTATGCGTTTTTTTAGTGCTAACTTATAAGCCCTGTTTATAACAGTATAGTGTATACTGTATAAAAATGTTTGTATACTGCATACTAAAATAATACAAACAAAAAAAAAATTCGAACTTTTCGAACTTAAACACGATATTTAAGTTCGAACATTTCGAAGATAAACAGCGATGTTTAATCGATTAATCATAAACAAATCGATGTTTTTTGCCCATCCCTAATATAAACAGATCCATTTAACCTTTTTCATTCATAATTATTTTTTCGATTGTAATTTATTAAGTATATTGGTTTCGAGTTTAAAAGTTTACTGCAGTATTATTTATCAATACCTGTATCTCACCTGAATTAAGAGCCATTTTTTTGTGCATATATTTGGACTTGCAAAAATTCTTTATTTTTTTTTTTAATTTGGGAAGTTATACAATCACTGAATTGGCTACTTCTTAATTTTTTAATAAATCAATTTTTTTTTTTTTTGTATTTAAGTATACTACCTATATTATTATATTTATATTAAATATAATATATTGAACCCTGTGTAAAATATTTCAGGCCGTTTCGGATTTCGCAATAAAGAAATTAAAGATGCTCTGGTTACCAACAATTGTATTCCCATTACATTTGTTGATGATCAAAATATGTCTACTGAAAACTATCCTATGAATCCTAATGGTTCTTCCAGTAAGTTTTGATTTTTATATTTAATTAACGGTATCACTAATTATGATTAGTAGTTCAATATTAGGTAAATGTCGTTAGAAATCTTATCCATCATATAACCTTGATAATTTAAATCTTCATGTTAAAAATATATATAGGAATTCAAAAATGCATAAATATGTAATAATATTATATAAATAACTAAATTAAAAACTTCAATATCATGGTTGATTAGAACAAAAATAGAAATTAAATAATAATGACTTATTGATGTTTGATATTTATAGGGCTGGATATAAGTTTTTGTAACTAATTTGTTATGAAGATCATGATACTTTTTCTGGCATAAATGCCACTTCATCCGATTTGGTTGTTCAGAGTAAACTAATTAGCTTTGGATCATTCGTTTGATCTTAAACTTGGCTTGATCGATCAGATTATTGATATATAAGCCATGACAATAATAATATCAAATAGTTATTTCAATATATACAAAAAGAAGTTAGAATAATATTGATTTTTATACGGCATATAACAATAATTAATAAATAGTTATTTACAATCCAGGAGTTAACCTTCCGTCTTATATTCTGGAAGAATACGTTTCAGAATATTGTTATCCGGATGTGAAATATCCTTTGTCTTTAAAACTATTGTTATTATATTAAAACTATCAGGACAATTTTTTCCGATAAGAAATAGAAACCTGTGTGTAAAATGTCTGCTGTTGTGCGTATTGAGAATAGAATCAACAATAAATAGTAATAGACTATTACTATTATTATTATTATTATTATTTTATTTTTTTTTGAGTTGCATAAATGTCCTCTAACCTGTAATTGCGTTAACGGATCTGTGTTCAAATTATCAGCTATTGGACAAACACTATGCTATTATTTTTATTATTGTAGAAAAAAATTACCATGCAGTACTAATTATAATCCAACGACCAGTGGCGCCGAATTAAATTGAAACTGCCAATTAAAGTAATTCGATTTACCCACCCATCCATCAAGTAGCTTTTGAGGAGCTTTACTCTCCAACCTATTTATAGACCTTCATTATATATTAATAATAAATAATATAATGAAAATAATTAATCTTTAATATTACTTAATTCATTTATAACAGTGATATCTAACCTTTTTTCCTTGGCGGGCCACTTTGGTAAGCAATTATCTTAGAGCAAATATAAGAATAAAAGTACGATTAATATTAATATTAATCTAATAATGTTATTTTGTTACACATAGTAGGTATACAACAGAGGCGGCCAAACTTTTTTAGACTATGATCTACTAAAAATATACTTCACCTTTGAAGATCGACTTTCTTGAAAAAATGTTTTATTATTAAATAATTATAATTATTAAGAAACATACTTGCTTAAAGTGTGTATAAACACACATAAAGTATTATAAACTAATTACTAAAAATAATATTATAATTTCTAAAATCTAAATACTTACCTAAGTCTAATTAAGATATTAATATTTATTTTGTTGATCTGGGCATTGTTGAAGTGCACGTGGCCTAAAAATAAATTCTAACTTGATCGACTCAGAAATCGTCCGCAATCGACCGTTTGGTCGCCTCTGGTATACAATATATATATTTGTATGTAGTATATGGTAGTTATATGTTAGTTATGTTAGTACATATTAATTTGGAAAATGGTAAACTGCAGAAAAATTTACCTTTTTCTAAGTAGATATGTATACTGCGACAAAAAAAAATTAAGATTATACAATCTGCGACAACAAACCCGATAAGATACACTATACAAACTGCCACAATTTATTATATATACCTTCTATATATACAATCAATGGTGCCGAACAATTACTTATATGGGGCAGTTCGCCCCTTCATTCAACTATGGTGGTGAGTGATTGTAGGGGGGTGGATAAATTTACACTATAATAAGTAAATCTTAGGTATGTACAAATTAGGTGACAATCGATCTATAGATGGTAGGATACTATGATGCGTTAGAGCAACTCGCCTATCGATGCATGTCTTTATACCAAATCAAGTATAAAGACATACATTGACATTTATATCTATTTCGCACACATGATGAAGATGAACGCCTCTCGATTGTCAGTGTTTAAAATTGATTATACAGCATGCAAATACATCTTTTAAACATTTTAAGACAGTTACTTAAATTATCAATAGCCCTGTGAAACATTTTTAAAACATATTTTTTTTAATTACAGTTGTTTAAAAAATAAAATAAACTGTTTTTTGTTTTACAATTCTTTAATTTTAATAACGTATTTAATATTTAAATAATTAAACCTATATTTATATACGTTTCGAATTGATATCAAGTGTTTTTTTTCTAAAACCACTATGAAGTAGGTAAGTAATAAATAAGGTAAATAGCTAATAATTAATATCTAATTTATAATTATCATTTTCAGTCTTTGTGATTATTGATTTATGATAAAATACGAGGCATTTTACTCGATTATAATTTATATTATTATTATTATGTGCACATTGAGCGGCACATTTAACAATAAATACAATCATTATTTTGTTCTAACTTTTTGGGTGGTGGTATTAACAAATTTTTATACTTTGCCCCACCAAATAAAATATAAGTCGACGCCACTATATACAATATATACATATCGTTATAATAACCTATATACACGTTTATCGTTTAATTAGGAATAATATGTGTTATGACAGCTATTAGTTTAGAGATTTATAAAGTATTAGGCATAAAAATAAATAAAAACCAATTTTTAAAATTTAAAAATATTATTATTATTAAAAATTATTTTAAGAGACCTTAATGATCACGTGTAGCTAAGGGTTAAAATGTTGTCGTTTATTTTTAAAACATACTTTTTTCAAAAATTCATTACTTGAAATTTGTTCATCTTCTTTCATTTGTCGCTGTTCGTTGATAAATTTGCATTTTTGCGTTATCGCTTTATTTATTGTTGTTATGTTATCGTTCTTTGACATTGATTCATTGTCAAAACTTATATAAATAGAAAATATAAATTTCAAATTGCAACGAATTGATATCAATTTTGGATATCGAATATTATTTTTGTCATATCGATATCGGTAAAATTGGTCTGAATCGATATCGAATACGACATTTTTGTGCATCAGTGGCGTATACAAGGGGGATGTGGGGGGACCCTCCATAGGTATTTTTAAAATTGTATGTAATAGTGTTCTTAATGTAAGGAAATTATAAGGAAACAAACAAGTATTGCAAGGATTTATTGTCAATTATTATTTTGAAACATTCAATATATATACTCGTTTATATATCTTTTATTATTTATTATTTAAATGTGCAGGTACTAAGGCTTAGGAATTTTTCTTTCATAATAATTTGTTTGCAACTGATCCCCCCCCACCATACAAAAGTTACGTATACGCCATTGTTGTGCATCAGTAGTATTTTTAAAATTAAATCGTGTATTACTTCAAATAATTTCGAATTAAATCGACATTTAACACGACAACTAAAATTTACCGAAAAAAATCAAATCAAATGATCAACAACCGATACTCGATTCTAAAATAATTAAGATAGTGAAGACAACTTATACTGTTAGATTCGGTTCGATACGTATTCAATTCATTTTCGATAGTTGCTGAAAATTCTTCACGCACATTTGGTTCGTATTAAGTTTAATTTCTCGATTGAATTCAGAATCATCCAAAAGAAGTCCTCTATTCACTATGGAGAAAAGGCGAATTGTTTGCCATTTTGTTCTAGATCAGAGGTTTCTTGCAATATTCCATACAGTAGGATAAATAACAGGTATGTCTCTCTGAACCAGGTTAGGTTAGTTAACTGCTGATACCCATTTCTAAATTGTACCTTAAGTTCATCGTTAATACTTATTCCGATCAGTTTTTGTAATTTCTTTTCGCACACATTTTTGACTTAGAACTCTCTTGGACCCCTATTTACACATGACGCACCCCTAATTTTCTTTTTCGTATATACATAGACTTATTACAGGTCAGAATCGACCGCAGGAGGTCGATACAGACCACTTTGGGAACCTGTGTTCTAGATGAATGAAAAAACGATGGGATCCACAAATACTTGTGGAAATTTTCTAGATTGGGTTAAAGTTTTTGCCAAACAACAATTTTAGCTGCTCACCTTGAAAGAATTGAACCATCGACAAAAAACTAAAATTAATATTGCTGTCCAAATCATCACAAACCTCTACATTCAGACTGTTATTGAATTGATCCGTGAAACAATATTAAGGGAAGTCAAATTGTCTGGAATGTATTCACTTACATTAGATTCAACAACTCAAGTTACAAAACTTATCAATTTTCTTTAGTTTTTAGGTATTGTACAAATTATTGATTTATAAAAAACGATTAATTTGTTTTGATGAAACTAGATTCGATTAGAAATGAGATGTATAACATATTTTGCAAAGTGTGTAATAAATATAATTTAAATTGGAGGCATGATTTAATTGGATAAGCTTATAATGGAGCATCTAATTTGCAAAAAGTTGTTGAATGATGGCGTTCATTAATACAGAACGAGAACAAAAATTCATTACACATATGGTGTTATGAACAATATTTAAAATGAGCAATTGTTGATTGTTACGAAGCAACTAAATGCGTATAAGATTTTTTTGGAACGATTAGCAGTTGGGTAACATTTTTAGGTACCAGAAAGAGAACTGCTACTTATGCAGTTTTATGCAGAAAATTTAATCGACATTTTTGCTACTACCAGATGTCAACGTAGACTAATATTTTATGTAGTTAATAATTATTAATAATACAATTTAAACTCGTAAAAAATTTTGTTTTATAATTTAAATAAAATATTTTACTTAATTAATGTATATTTTACTGTAAATAAATGATAACATAGTCTAATATTTTAGTTATTTGTGACTATTGGTGACAATTTTTACAGACATATAAGAAGATAACATGAAATATGCCCCTAACTGTGAGGGAATCTATCCCCCTAAATAACGCCTCTAATGTAGGCATAAAAAACTATAGAGTAGGTACCTTTTTGGTCCTTTGCATACATGGAGTACAAGCATACGGTATGGATAATTACGTTGTATATAGTACGTCTTTAACGTATGAGATATTAGCAATTTAATGATACAAAAAATGAATCTATTTATCTTTAGAATTATGTTGAATTCTTTATGCACAAAATATAATTTGTATTATTTCTGATTCATATTAATTTAAATAATCACCACTAATATGACTAAAAATGGAAAGTAATTACCATAATTTTATTTTTTTTTAATATTAACACCTTATAAATTTACTAAAAATAAAATGCTAAGTTAAATATTTTTTTTAACTTTTATTTTCCATTGTAGTAAACATTTATCTTGTTGAGACTTTTTAAGCGTTATATAGATACTTCTATTTTATTAGAACCCTTGTAATATAACAATTTTAACTCTATCTCAATAATTTAATTGGATTTTTTATTATATTGGACTTTATGACTTTCATAATCCTTTTGGTGAGTATAACATATGACGTAAACGTGCGCATTCGATATATTTTATTACTTATTATAAATGCTTAGTTAAATTGATTGGTATATTTTATTTATTTATAAATTATATTTATGATATATTACAAATGATATTGTAGATGTTTTAGCTTATTATTTTGGTATCGATGAGTAATAAATGAATAATTTGTAAGACGTATTGAATACGTACATAGGTACGTACCAAGAAAGTCTATATATAATACATACTTGTATCTATGTAAATTCTATAGGATAATAATGTTATTAAATCAAAACATATTATATTGGAAATTTAACGTTTACGAAAAATACATTCATATTTACCAGGCGAATGGGGAGAAATTGTAATTATAATATATTTATTATATTACCTTACTATCATTGATTTTATTATTATTATTATTATTATTATAAAATCAATGCTTAGAATGTAATAATTATAACTTAGTAATATGTTCTTATATTTTCATTTATCATTATAGTAAATTTAGATTCCTTGTTAATTTTAAAATAGCACCTTCATTTTCCTATTTCAAAATAATGAATTTGGGAATTTATTGTTTGATAATTTAAGACTAAACTTATATATACTATTACAGCATTTTGTATTTGCATATTTAACTCTAATGTTACTAAAAAATAACAGAAAATTAACTCGATTCAATCATTTTTATAAACGATTGAAGTTTGAATTATTTATATCATAAATTTTTATAAACCATTTTTTATTTTTATCAAAACCCGAAAATTTAATACATGTTCTATTTAAATATTATTCTCACTATCTATAGAATTTGAAAATGTAAAAAGTTATTCGAAATTTTCTATACACATTATATTCGTTTAAAGCTAATGCTTTTAATTGTTACGTAGTTAATAAAATCTAATAAATCTTCACGTGCGATTGTTTTTATGAGCAGCACAAATTTGAATTACAGTAAAATTGATTAATTTTATTATTTATTATGATAGAAAACGTAATTTGATTACTAAATTCAAAACGAACATCGAAGGTTATTCTTATATTTTAATATTTATATACACTAGAATTCAATGTATATTTTAACAAATTTTGAAACCCTTAACCAGAATTAAAAACATACTAAAACTATGGATATATCGACTGTGATATATAATTATGTAATTTTTTTTTAATTAAGCTTATCCGTATATAATACTTATATAATATTTTTTTGTGATCGATAAAGATTATTATGTCTAATAATTATATAAAATGTTATTTGAATTTAATAATTTAGTTTATTTTAAATTTCAATAAATACCTTCTAAACTAACTCTAAAGTGATTATTGATGAAAAATATACTTTTTTGGTATATAAAAATTTAGGTTTTTAACATCACAATGAGAATATTTTTCTTTTTAAATAAAAATAATTTGGTTTCTATTTGATTATTAGTTTTATACTCGTATATATTATGCATTTTTTAATTTTTTAGGCGGAATAGCAGGTGTATGTTCATTTGACGGTAGACATTTGGCATTAATGCCTCATCCAGAACGAAGTATATTTACATGGCAATGGCCTTACACGTATGGGTTGGATCTATCAAAAGATGATAATTACGCCCCTTGGATGCAGATGTTTTATAACGCTTATGAGTGGTGTTCCCGAAATTAGTTGAACCAAATAGTAACCTTTGTATTGTGCATAATAACCATATTAACGTAATAAAAATACATTCATATATGTTTACATATTATACAGTATCTGATTATTTTTTTTTTCTTGCGTATGTGCTATTGGTTTAAATTCTTGCAACAATAACAGTTGTTGTTAAAAAAGTGGGTACAATAATGATCATTAGTTATAATTCATTAGATTATCATGATAATGTAGTCTGTGAGTAATGTATAAGTTATTATAAATTATGATTCATCAGTGCAGTAAATCAGTCTGTTAGAAATTATTCAAGTAGATACTACAAACTCACGTGAATGCTCATAAAATAATTTTTACTTGTTTTTACATTCAAATCATGAATTTTTTATTAATTTTAACTGTTTTTTTAATCATATTATTAACTACAACTTTTGCAACAGAAAAATATGTACCAGATGCTTCATTAAGTGTAGTAAGAATAAAAAACCAAATTGCTTATTAAAAATTCTTAATATATATTTATTTTAGCCAAAAATAATTAAATACTATGGCTATCCATCTGAAACTCATATTGTGGATACAAAAGATGGATACTTATTAGAACTTCATAGAATACCACACGGTAAAAATAAACAACAGTTTAGGAATTTCCCAGTTTTATTACAACATGGAGTTGTAGCTAGTTCAGCAGATTGGATAATAAATGGTCCTTCAAAAGCACTTGGTAAGAATCCTAATATTTTTATAATTTACACTTACTTATGGAACTATATAAAGTTTGTTAATTCAAAAGAACTAAATTCTTTAAAAATACTAAAATTAATATTAGATTAATTTTTCACTCTCAAATAAAACATTAAGAATTAAATATTAATCCAAAAATTCTGTATTTGTATTTTATATTATTTAGCTTACCAATTAGCAGATCAAGGTTTTGATGTATGGTTAGGAAATTCTAGAGGGAACACTTATTCTCGTTCTCATAAGAATTTTAGTCCAGACAATGAAAACTTTTGGAACTTCAGGTAAATTCTAAATTCTTATTAGTATAATATATCTACATGTTTTACTTTAATGATAGTTACAGTGGTTAGGCAATATTTCTAAAAGAAAAATATGTCTAGATAATAATTATAATCAAAATCTCTTTTTGTAATTTTTAAGTGAAAAACACAATTATAATTAGTAAAGTATGAAATGTCTTTAATATATAATAAAAAATTTATGGTTTAACTTAATTTATTCTATATTCTTAATACTACATAGGTAGTCCAGTTTCTATATTTCTTAAACTAAGGATTGCAAGATAGTTAATATGTTGAACATTTATTAAATACAAAAATGGATGTAATATGATTTCTTTGATACCTGTAACAAAATTAATGTAAATGCTTATCATGATTTATTGATTATTCAAAAGAAAAATTTAAATTTACTTATTATTTTATATTTTGCAAGGTCAACTTTAAATTTGATTAATTTTATTTAACTATAAATATTCAGTTTTTTATTAGGTAGTATTTTTATCATAAACTATTATCAACATGTTAGGTATATAATAATAATTTAATATTATCATATCTACTATTCTATTAATGAATTAATCATTTTTTGAGTTTCTTGTATTCTACATAAACATTGAACAAATAAAATGTTAACAGTTAGATTTTATCTCTCTTATTGACTTTAATATTAATAAATATAAATAAATGCTTAAAATTTAAAATAAATCTGCTTTTAAATGGCCACACATTATATAATACTCTAGGACAGTATTTTTATTTTTAAATGTAGTAAATTACTTTAAAGTATACTTTATATTTAATATTTTCAGTTTCAAAAATAATAAATAATCTACTTTAATAAAAAATAAATTAATATAATGCATCAAAATTTTCCATCTCTTGTAATAATCATGTTATATTTAAGAAAATGTATAGTCATCAACAAGGCCGTAACTGGGAGGGTCCAGGGTGTCTGGACCTCCCCCCCCCGAAATTTCTTCAATATTTTACGAATTTTTATAATACTTATTTATTTTTAATACCAACATAAATATTTTTAGTCAAAAATGACTTAAGCTCCAATTAATCATGGATTTCTTTTAATTTTATATCATAATATCATATGAAAATATGATATTAATTTTAATAAAAGAAAATTAATCTTTTTCTGTCTTATTTTTAACCAAATATCAAGTTAAAATCTAAATTCAATAAAATTACAATATACATGTTTTGGACTCCCTCCGAATAAATTTTTTAGTTACTGCCATGGTCAACAAGAATTTTAATATTATTATTTATCAGAGGAGATGAAGAGCAATATATGTTTAAAAAATTCATTATATCTCAAGATCCATATTAATTAAATTTCTGTTTTAACAATGGGTACATCAAACATTCCATTTTATGAGTTATAAAATTGTAAATGACTACCATGGAAACATGTTCTTAATCTATTCTTGAATTCTATCAAGTAATAATTAGTATTGGAATAAATAATTAATCGAACAAGAATTTAAATAAGTTCATAATTTAAACAATAAGAAGAATAAGACAATGTAATAAACTTATTTTATACACATTACTAAATAAGTAAACAATTGCCAATTAGATATGGAGAGCTTGTTTTTATTATAAAAATTACCTATCACAATTCATAGAAGTTAGTTTCATGAATGCCATTTTATTAAAAATGTATTTACTACCTATGTATTATGTAGTCATTGAAATTAATAATTTATAAAAATTACTATAGGAAGAGACATGTATTTTGATGTCCTACTAATTATGCCACTAAATAGTGTAATATTTATACTTATTAATATGTATCTTTAAAAACTTTAATAGTTTTCATGAAATGGGAATATATGATATGCCAGCTACAATAGATTATATTTTAAAACAAACAAAACATAATCAATTACATTATATTGGCCACTCAATGGGAACTTGTATATTTTTTGTTATGTGCTCGATGCTTCCAGAATATAATAATAAAATACGTGTACAAATTAGTTTGGCTCCAGTGGCTTATGTGCATCATATGACATCAATGTTAAATGGTTTAGTACCATATGCAAACCAAATACAAGTGTGTATACTTTTAAAATTAAAATGTTATTTAAATATAACTATATTATAAATTCCTTTTTAGAAAGCTACAAATTGGATTTCAAAAGGAGCTTTTTTACCTAAAAATGCTGCTAGTAAAATAGTGAATAAATATTTATGTGGGGAAGATGCTAGTAATTCAGAATTATGCAAAAAATATATAGTCTTCAAAATTTTTGGGGAAGATTCTGTTCAATTTGATATGGTAAGTTAATTAAATTTAAGTATTTTAAAATAATAAAATAACCAAATGTTTTTACTAGAAATTATTACCCATAATACTAGCTCATAATCCAGCTGGTACATCAGTGAAAACATTAATACACTTTGCGCAAGAAGTCAAAACAAGTAAAATATTTAAGCCTTAAATAATAAATTAAAATATTTATTTTATAATAATTTGTTTTAAGAACAATTTCAACAGTTTGATTATGGACCAGAAGTAAACACAAATATTTACAACTGTTCATATCCACCAAAATACAATTTAAATAATGTAATTACACCAATAGCATTTTATTATGCTAAAAATGATATATTAGCAGATTCTCAAGTAAGAATATAATTATTATTATTTAAGGTTAAAATTAAATAGTATTATAAGCAACCCAAATATAAGAAAAAATAACTTGAAAATCTTAAAATATGCTTAACTATATTGAAATCTGTATCAAAAATTAATTTAAAATTATGAGCGTAATACAATGCCTGGAGGTTACTAAATGACAGTATAAGAACAATACTTCTACAGAATTTACTAAAAAAACAGATATGTCAATTATTAAAAAAGACTAAATTATACTGCCTCTGGTATGTTTTTATATTTTTCTGTGTCAATTATGCTTATGCAATATGTAACTGCTATAAAATCATAACCCTATTCAACACATTTTTCAAATGAAGAAAATTTTTCATTAATTTAACAAAATTATTTGTATATAAGTGAACAAAGTAATAAATGAATTAACAAACACCAAATTACAAATTTATTTTTCATAATTTATCTGATTTTTTTTTTTTTTGTACATAGGATGTGATTGAGCTCTATACCCATTTAAGAAACAGATTGGGCTTAAATCTCATAATGTTTGATGAATTCAATCATGTTGATTTTCTGTACAGCCGTAATGTTTCTGACATGGTATACAATAGTGTAATAAGAACAATATCTAAGGTTGATTTGCTTGGTTGGGTACCAGTTTATGATAATACAGTTTCGTTCTATGCCTTAAAAACTGATAATCAATGCAATGATTCAGAACTTCACGAGAGAAGTTCAAGGAGAAAGAAAAATGGATTCTGGAGTAAATTCACCTCTATAATGGAAAAAATGGAAGTTCAACCAATTATATCAACAGAATAAGAATATAATGAAAACAATGGCAAGACTACTGATAAATTATTAAGGCCTTAGAAGAAAGCATATAATATGTGATAGTTTAAAAATAGAATACACAATTAATACACTTTTATTTATTTTATTGAAAATTTTTTGTCAACTTATAAACTAATTGAAAACACAAATTAATGAGTAATTTTATAATGTATGTATGTACAACTTAAATTTAAAAGTTTACTTACGTTTTTTGTTAATAATATAAAATTGAAAAAAGAAATATCAACATTACTATATAATTTTATCAATATTTTGATCTCGATCTATAAATTGTAATACAAAATGTAATTACTATTACTTTAAAAATTAATCAAAAAATATTTTGATAAGGTTAAAGGTAAGTCTTATTACCTGTAATCATCTCGATCTCTTCTTCTACTGCTACCATATTTTGGACTTCTTGAAGTACTAAAATAATAAATAATTAAATATTTTCTTTCATTTGAAGTACTAAAATAAATAAATATACATTACCTTTTTTTATAATCATCTCTTCGACTAACATAAGGTGATCTAAAATAAAGTAGTACAATTAAGTAATAATTATATTTTTTAAATACTGCATAGAAATATCTGCAAAAAATATTTAAGGAAAGCAGCAACATTCATAAATAAAAAATGGTTTTATATTTTGGTTTATGTTACAAAATTGGATTTGAAATTTCTTATTTTTTAATATACTTTGAAATATACTTTTACATTGTAGCTAATTTATCTAAAATGTATTTCAAAATTAATAATACACGATACTATGCCATAAATAATAATTAAAAGTTTATTATTATTCCAAACATTTAAGAAGTTTTAAATTAAGAATTATATTGAATTATTATCATAAAATAAATGTTAAAATTTACCTTTCTCGGGAATTCGCTCGACTAGTCTTACGATCATAATCTCTATCACGATAATCTCTATGTGATCTTTCTCTACGATCAATTCTATCTCGAGACCTTGATTGGTCAGATAAATCTCCTCGACTTCTATAGTCGTCTCGTTCTCTACTACTAAAACAATATTAATTTAAACTAAAGACAAAAAAAAATTAAATTTAATATTGTAATACTTAAAGTTCTTTTCGGGTACATTTCTTCTAGGCGCTTCTTCCACCACTGGAGGATATTTTTCACTCATTTTTTTTTCCATTTGTTGCTAAGAGAAATTAAAATTAATATTTATCAATTTTTAATTTTTTTTTTTTTGTTAATAGTAGTAATACTGACTGTTTGGTCGACCTACCTACCTGAATGGGCACAGGGATTCTAGGAAATAATGTGGAAAACCATTCCAATTTAAATAAAAAGCTCTTTAATATATCGCCAATTGACATTGTTTGACCTCCTCCAGCTCTAACATCCATTTCCTAATATTATTAATTAATTTATAGTTACAATATTTTATTATAAGAAGTTAGCATTTATAATTATTAAATTCTGAATTGAAAAAATACAGAATAATTAATTTTTTTTTTTTTAAATGAATTTTACAAAATTTAATTACCTCTTCATCATCTAAGAAAGATTCATACCAATCCCATAAATCACCTGGTGGCTGAGTATACCTAAAAGAAAAATAATAAATAATAAATTAAAATCGCATGAAATCAATGTTAAGAAAATTTTTAAAAAAATAGGAAAAGGAATACTTTCAGGATCATTATCATTCTTGAAACAATTATCCTCCATTATAGTTTGGGATAGTTTGATCAAAAACTTACCTGATGTACATAAAACCCAAAGCACGTATATAAGGTGAATCGCAATGGGTAATTAACCCAGTTACCTGCTTGCGAGTCAATTTCAATGTGAACAGTTTATATAGAAGACAAAAGGCTGTTGACACAATTCCACCAGCACCAACTCCTCGAACCTAAATCAATTTAGTTTAAAAATTTTCAATATTAATCGTATAACATATTTGAGTACAGAAAAATAAAAACTATAAATTAATTAAAAAACTAACACCACCACACATTCCAGTTTGCCCAGAGGTCTTCCGACTACCCTTTTCCCATGGCTCAAGATGTTGTACTTTATAATAAATTTCATCAATAACTTCATGGTAAGTTTTCAGTTCATATAAATTTACTAAAATAATAAATGTACTCAGTAATTTAATACAAATAAAGTATAAGTATAATTCATATTAATTTTTTAACACATAATAAATAGTAATTTGGAAAAGCATCTATGAGTTTAATATTGTATACAATTATATAATTTTCATAATTACCTTTAAAATAATGAGATGATTGAATATTAGTTAATATAAGAGTATTCAAATTCATTGTACGCTCATTACCCCATATTGGTAATGTGTTGTTCTTTCTTGTTAAAATGCTTCCTTTTGGTTTAGATTGATAATCATTATCATATCCTAAACAACACATAAAAATCTTAAATGAGTATTACAAATTATTACACTATACAAGTGTTAAACATTAATTTAGAACTATTATATTTAACATAGAAATTTAAAATATAACTAAAATTACAATTGGCTAAAAAAATATTCTGAATGGAAGTAAGGAATTTATCAGTATTATACTGTGATAAAATTATTTTGTAACGTTTTAATAAAAACAATTTTTATTATATGTAATTTTTTTAAAAATAATACTTTTTAGTTTAAACTTTCTTATAAAGTTATAATCATGTTTCATAGAAATTTTAATTATTTTTTTGAAGATAAAATTACTGTTGAAAAGTAAAATCTACAAGCATACGTTATAAGTGTACAATATATTTTCATATACATATATCACGTCACATTATAGCCAGATGTATAAGAGAAAATAACTAAAATGAAATTATTGTAGCGATAACTCATATTATTAAAATATGAATTTATAACTGATCATACCTAACATATTTATGATTTAATGTATCAGCAATACTATTTTATGTAATAAAGCAAATATTTATTTATTAATAACATATTTATTTTAACAAAACTAAATGAATCTTACCTTCGTTTTCATAATTGACTTCCATATTTGTAGTAAAGTAATCTTATTTTTCTTAAACCAAAAAAATATTTAGCTTAGATATATATTATACCTACTCAAATCATAAAAAAAAATACACAATACATTTAATATGCGCATGCGTCAATATTTACAGTGTAACCCTATATAAGATATTAAAAATGTAAATCACAAGTAGGATGAATTCCTAGAATTTTTATTATCATTCCGAAATAACTAAGCTACTATCCATAGATAATAAAGAATTTATTATTTATGGTGCTATCACCCCAAGGTTTATAGATAATATTATTGATTATAAACATCAAGATAAAGAATAATGATTATAAAAAATAAAATAATTATAAACTTTATACTATTATAAGGTCTATGAAAATTATAAAATTTTACCATAACACTTGATAAAATAAGAAAATAATCATCTTATTTAGATAATTTTGAATAATTCTTTGGAATTTAATTTACAAACAATAAACAAACTTATTATTTAGATTAACTAGTTACTTAATAATAAAATTGCTTAACTTCGTATTTATCAAAGAATAAATTAATATATAATGAAAACATCTTATCTAATTAATTTATTATATTTTTTTTATTTATTAAAAACCTTTATTAAATTAATTCTTTACAATCTGTACTATAAGTGCACAATAGGTAGTTTTTTTTTTACATTAAGAAAAGGCGGTGAGTAGTTTATAGGCGCTTCACATTAAAAACGCCTGATCTTGTGGTGTTTAGTGTCTGAGGTCTCCAGGCTATTTACGTTTAAGGTGTCTTTCCGGGTTACCTGGAAGCTGATTGGTGTGAAGTTGAGCGATGAGGTTGTTTGAATGATTGGCCCATTTTGGAGTGGAAATGATTGTAAAATGTAGCAGCTGTTTGTTCAATAGTAGCCATTTTTAGCTCGTTGTAAAGACTGACGTTGGTGACGTACCAAGGGGCATTGACAGTCATTCTTAGGCATATCGATTGAAATGCTTGGATGGTTCTGATTTTAGGTGGTTTGGCCGAGCCCCGTTAAGCAATTCCGCAAGACCATATAAGTTGAAGTAGGCTTTTATATATTAGTAGCCGGTTAGAGGTAAACATTTTCGATTTTAAGAGGGGTCTAAGGACATGTAGGCGGCTGTTCAGTTGATTGCGTTTAGTTTTTAGGTGCGGGTTCCAGGTAAGTTTTTTGTCCAACACAAGACCTAGGTATTTGATTTCATTAGTTTGGGGTGTATTTACGTTGTTAAACGAAATGGGTGGGCAGATTCCCGGGTGGAGGGCGAATGTGATATGAGCTAATTTGGAGTCATTTATTTTGATTTTCCATGAGTTTAACCAATAGATTAGATTGTTTAGATGGTATTCTTTTAGGACGATTTGAAGTTTATTTATATTATTGGTGATTGCATTAGCGTTTCATTGACGAACGGTTCTTCGCAGGAAAAAAATTTTTGTGATCCATAATGTCATGTTTTTGAAAGCACCGTTTCGTACTATATTATTTAAAACTGAAGCTCCTGGAATTCCACTTCCGCCGGAGCCCATACTAACACGTTGGGGAACATGGCTACAAGCAGCTTCATACTACTGTCAATATTTTAAAGAAATATACAAAGTTTTACAACTTCTAGATTCGAGCGATGCGGTTTCTATTAGAGAAGCTAAAATAATTGTAAGTGACCGTTTTGTGGAAATGAACATACGAAATTTTTGAGTAAGTTGTCCAAATGTATCTTCCACTACTTTCCTGGCTCTAGATAGTCGGTCATTAAATTTTTTTTTAGTATCATCTACATACATTTGAGGACCCGGGTATGGTCTTAATAAATATGTCTTTACAGAAAATGCTTCGTCGCCAATAATTGTAAATAGTAATTTTTCAATAGTTCCCGGTAGTGGTTTTCCATCAGGAATATTAAGTTTTTTTCATTCAAGTGCTTTTCCCAAATTGGAATTTGAAAAAAATACCTCCGTCACTGTTTTTACCGTACATAATACTGTAATATCTACAGCAATAAATCTATAGTGCGCATCAACTAATGCCATTAAAACTATGGAAAATATTTTTTTCTAGTTATAGTACATAGATCCGCTATTGGGAGGTGCTTCTATAACAACATGTTTCCCATCTAAAACGCCTATACAATTTGGGAAATTCCAAATATCCTAAAAATCATAGCTATCTGCTCCCAATTTTCTATTTTCGGTTGTGGTATGTATTGTCTTGTTAAATTTTTTATGATTGGTGTGCACACTTCTATAACAATTGAATGTACTGTAGAATGACCCATTCGAAAACTAAAAGCAATAGTTTGGCAGGAATATCCAGTTGCTAAAAATCTACAGAAAGAAACAATTAAAAAAATGTAAATAATTTTATTGGTTTTAATTAAATTTGTAATAAAAGTTAAAAAAAAAATGATTATTTTTGTAGCACAAGAATGTAAAAGGGCATGGGCAAATTTAAGAGACGCTTATAGAAGAGCTATCAAAAAAAAATTGCTACAGTGTCGGGTCAAAAAACTAAATATTTAAAAAAATGGAAATATGAATTGGAGATGAATTTTTTGAAACCATATATGAAGGAAAGGGAAACAATATCCTCAGTTGAAGCTCAAAGTGATGTGGAGAAAAATAGTTCCGATGCAGAAGACGATGAAACTTTTTCTGAAAATGAAACTAATCAATCTGACAATATTGCCAAGGAGAGTATTTCTTCACCTGATGAAAATATTACACAAAGTACACTACCGGCACCATCTCAAACATTTTGTGTACCTCAACCTAAGAAAATTATGACTCCGAAAAAAAGAAAAAAAACAGAATGCTGTACCACTTCAGAATCCGCATCCTCACATTTGATGAAATACATTATTGAAAAAGAAGTTAAGTCAAATTACAAAACAGAAATTTATGTGATTGATAATTTTTTTCTGAGTATGAGTTTGACAGTGAAACAATTTTCTTCGTATCATCAGCATTTAGCTAAAACTAGAGTTTTTTTTCCATAATATCCGAGTTGGAGCTAGAACATTTAAAATCACAACAATTGCACCAACAACAAAACATGTCAGGATTTCAATTAATACCTCAATCGACAAAAGTGTATACTCTTAGTCCGATAGAACACCCCTCAGATTCAGATACATCAACATCTATAGGCAACTTTTTCCAAACATTTACACAGAATTAAAATGACTCATAATTTAAAAAAATTGTAATTATATATTCATTATCATTATCATTTAAATTTTAATTGCACTTTATTGTTACAATTGTTAATAAATGTTGTAATAAAATATTTTTTTCTGTTTCACATTATATTAGTAGACGAAAATAGTAATAATTATATACTTTCTTACTTTAAACATACAGCCAATTTCTGTTTAGCCGGTATAGCTTCTCTAAAGTGCGTGTTCTGTTTAGTTATGTCATTTGAAATTTGTTTTAGAATTATATTGAACTGATATGAACACATTCTAAAATAAATAAAACATTTTTCTTCGTGATCTTCAAGAGATCCACATAAACTATAAAATTCACCCTCTATTTTTCTCCGTTTTAAAATGTCATGCATCCAAATACGTTTTTTAATTTTTAGTGGTTTTTGCTCTTCTTCGTCTAAGGCTATTGCCATCATGGCTAAATGTTTGGTCGACAAGTGCTTAAACATGGTTTTAAAATTAATATTACGCGTTGCATGACTCGTTGCACTAGTTCACTGTAGTTAACTGTGCGTATAAATTACTTTTCATTTATGACGGTCTGTCTGTCGGTGCAAAACGGTACTATGTGAATACTCCTTAAAATGTCGGTTCGGTACGGGTCTGTGCGGTCCAGTGCGAATCAACCGTTATGCGTTTGACTCTGTTGGGACTGTTTGCTAGTCGTATTCATTACCTGAGAGATCAGATGGGGAGTTGTCACCCGTTTGATATAATTAACGGTGTTTATGATTATTTGAACTCATAATGATAAAGATAGGGTATCGATGTTGATAGGGAAGTTATGAATAATAATTGGCCTTGGTGAATATATTAAATTATACATTACCAGTAATTAGAAGACCAGAGACGTACACTAGGTACGACGGCATGCACTAATGACTTGCTATCAAGAACTGATAAAAGCGGATAACGATTAATATACGACTAGACTACACGGTATCTCAACACGAACTGATCTAATTCATTTAAAAATGTTCATTTTGGTAATATATTCTGATATTCATTATCATTAAATATATGAAGGGTACAGGGGAAAAACGGTAGTATTCCATTTATTTCGATAGCAAATAAGGAGTAATATCAACAGTTGATATATATAACAGAAAAAATCTTTCAGTCCATACCTTATTTTTACTCCCTTGAAAAATGTACAGAAATGGACTATTACCGTTTTTCCTTAGTACCCTTCATATAAAAAAGGATAGAAGGTAAAAATTAAAGAATTAAAAATAAAATACATCAAATTTTTTATGTTTTATTAGGTGAAAGTCATATACATAAATCTCATTGTTTTTGTGCCAGTTCCTTTTCCTTTGCTTTCTCAATTTTAGCGAGACGGCATGCAGACTTGGCACCCAAAACTCCACCACCCCAGTGACGTTTGAATTCATCAAATCGCTCATTAAAGTTGTTTTTAATAGACTCCACTAATTTAGCTAAAGTTGCACGGTCACCGGTATCAACCTATTAAAAACAGTGTATATATAAAATATGTATGTTATATATATATATATATATTATACATATATTGATGTTTAAAATTAAATTCTATCTATTAATATTATTTACTTGTGTTATAGCCAAAGCAGTACAGTTTTTGCGACGTACAAGGTTTCCTAACCTCCATTTTCCTTTGATAATGCAATAAGGAACACCCATTTTACGGCATAATGCTGGAAGATATATTACCAACTACAAAATAAATTATTACAGATTAATAACATTTTTTTTTATAAAACAACTACTTGTAAAACACTATACCTCCAAAGGATCCACATCATGTGCAATAACAACTAGTTGCGCTTTTTTCTGTTCAACAAGGTTTACAACAGTATTAATTCCTTGACGGATGACATTTGGACGTTTTGTAGGTTGATCTTCCTTGGTTTCTATTTTATCTTCAGCTCTTTTCTGAAAAAAAATATATATATAACCTCAGGGAATATATTATTTATTTAAAGTATTCTAAATTAAATTATGAGTTGACACACCTGTAATCTTCTTTTCTTCATGGCAGCAGTTTCAGGTCTGTACTTTTCCATCAATTTGAACAATTGAGTAACTAAAATAATATTTATATAATATATGTACAAAATAAATTTTCTGTTGAGACATCTAATTGTTCTATTAAAAAATAAGTTTAATCACCTAATTTGAATTAAAACATCATCTTACCAGTAGCTTTGTCTGCAGCATATGAGAATTGGTTGATTGGTGGTGGAATTTTAAGCCTTCTCTGAAGAACAGATTTTTGACGTTGAATACGAATGTAATTTGGCCATTTTACAAAACGGCTTAAATCTCTTTTGGGTTGGATATCCTGACCTTATGAATGAATAACATTATGAATTATAACATGAGCATTTCTCAATATAATTTAGAGGTTGAATTTATGTACAATAGAAATATGGATCAACTTGAATTATAAAGGTATGGTTTGATAACTAAGTTTTAGTAGTTATAGATGAGTTCTTACCAGTATCATAAATAGGGAAGTGTATTGTCACTCTCCAAAATGTTTAGATTACCTAATGTTACTCCATTATCTTTACCAAATTTATATTTAAATTTTTTCAAATATACAATCGCCTTGAAATTTATTTTTGGTTGCGCAACTGAATCATATATACTATACACATTTGTTATATATTCCAATATACATCTCATCTATCATTACAGAGAGACACGTTATGTCAAACACTTACTATGATGAGTATGACTATAACGTTTCACAGAAATTTTTTACTAGTTATTTTAAAAAATCAATAAATATTTAATACTTTTGGGAATGATTTTCAATCCCAAAAGAACTTTAAGTAAAACCTTTCTATAATGGACCCTCTATTAAACAGAATTCTCCTTATAATTGAAAATGTCAACAGTCTCAGTAAAAATAATATATGAAATTGACCTCTTTAAGACAGAACCTCTACAAAATGAAAACGGAAAATTAAATTATTTAAAGATAAATAATAATCATGTAAGTACTGCATGTAAACATATATATTTGGTAACATAAGCCTTATCATTATCTGAAATATCATTTGATAGTATGAGGAATGCATTACAGCCAATGTTGATATAGAAGATTTCATTAAATTTGATAATAAATTAGAAACACATGAAACTTATTATTCTTTTTTAGAAGAAAAATATGATGATGATGACAGTGAGACCAACGACGAGTCAAAAATAAAAGATTTTAAAATCGCAATCTAATATTTATAATTATAAAAATTTTCAGTAACAGTTTCAAATCGAAATCTATTAGAACTTACAAATAACCAAAACCCAAGAATAAGCTAAACATGCTGCTCTTAATCACAAAAAAGCAATCAAATATTTAAAACTATTTTTTTAAATTATAACAAAGGAATAAATTTGTTACTATTTAAATTTTTTTTTAGTTCTTTAGTATTATACACAAACATATTTAAATATTAAGTCATACATTATAATCTTACTGTATACATTTATGTTGCATGAAGTATTTGCCTAAAATATAATTTTTTAACACATACATGCATACAATCTTGAAACTTAATTTTTTTTCTATCTCTCTGACGTAAAACTCTTTAAAACGGAAAAATGTTTAGTCTTAAACGAATCCCGTTATAGATTTTACTGTATATACAAAATAACCAACAAAAGAAGCATCTTCATGACAACATCATAAAATTTTTGAGAACTCAGTAGTGCAATTAACTTCTATTTCAATGAACAATATTATAAGAATAAATAATATAAAAGATATAAAGAATATATAATATAAATTATAAGAATCAAAAATTAAAATATAATTTAGCTTGAAAATTACTAATACTGATTTACTCAACTTTGTAACTAGCCAGAAAATATTAAATTGTTTATCATTTTGACCTTAAGAATTAAATTTAAACTAAGCATGAAGGTTGAAAAAACTTAGAGAAGATAATAAATGAATAAATCAATTAAAAATAGATCTTTTACAAAAATAAAAAATAGACTTAGTAAATGCTCAGGGTTAAAAAGCTCATAGAATTTTTCATATGATTCAACAAAAATATTTATCATCATAGCAAATTACACAAAAATGAACTAAAATTATATTTTAAAACCGATTTGGGAATTTTCTACAGAATAAGATATGCTTAGAGTAAAAAGCACATAAGTACTTTTCAAAATATAATTATCAATAGGGCTCGGATTTATATGTATTAAAAAAACCAATATATGTAATGACAAATTGTTTTATATGTGATAATAAAATGAAAAAAAAGAAAATAAAAAAATTAAGACACTTGAATTAAAATATTATGAAATTGAACCTTGATTTCGATAGCAATGAGATACCAGATACAAATTATCAAAATGTTCAAATTATCTACGGTTTGATCATAACATAGATTTGTACTGACTAAAAGAGCTCTCGACTTCAACAGAGGTAATGAGTCCAAATTTCATATTTCTAATGTCCAAAGGAGTGAGCTCAATTTACATTATTACCCCATTCATTCCGCTATGTATATATCTAATTAATTTTAGATAGTTTAACCCTATATTTTTGATTATTACACTGTGTATGTTTTCTTTTACTGCAACTCACAATAGTCTATGTACTTATACTATACATTTCACAGCTTCTACAAGTTCTCAACTTTGAACTGAAGATATTTTTCATGCCAAACATATTGAAATAACAAAATAACTAACATATATCAACCGTAGATAAAATTCAATAATTGGTAGTATTTTGTTTAAGTACTTTAGAAAACATGAGAAATTGTTTGTATTGAATTGTTAATAATTTGTAAATGGACAAATAGTAAAAATATGTAAAAATAAAATATAGTTGATTCCATTGGAAATCTCTTGAAACAAATTTATCATTTACCTAAATTAATTTATCAAGTCATAGTAAAAATATGTATTTACATATAAATCTGAGCTCTAATTATCGGCAATATTCATTCAAACAAATTGTATAAAAATATGCTGATATAAAAGATTGGCATTTACTGACTTAATCAGGACAGTCCCAGTTTTAAAGGTATGTCCCAACCGATCATTTAGTTTGTCACGGTTAATATGAGCTAAGAAAAAATAACATTATACATAGTAATATTTAATAATAAAACATAGAATATAATTGTACATAATATTATTTAATGGTTTTATACAATAATAATATATTTTTGTATAAGCAAATAAATATTTAAATTACCAAATTATATACTTATTCTTGTTTCCAAATAAACGTTACACGAAAAATAAGTCATTCAATATGATGTCCCGGTTAAGGAATTTCAAAATCTGGCAACCTTATATATATATAAAGTTAATTATAATAATATAAAATAATAATATTTTAAATCTATGATATAACATAATATTCATTACAGTAATAAAATTAAGTGCTCAGGGTTAAAAAGCTCGTTAAATACTTTATCATTAAACAATTCAATAAAAATGTTTTTCATCATAGCACAGTTAATATAAAATCCATACCATTACCTGCTACAACATAAGGGTTTATATTTTAAAGTAAAAATATAATTTTAGATTTATAAAAATATATATTTAGTAAAATTTAAGCTCAGAATGTCATTATCAACATTATTCTTAATTATATTTAATATATATGAAGTTCTGTTGAAGAAATTCAAGCATCATTGCTAAACTCATAAATACATATAAGATGATTATGTAGTTAGTATTAATAACATTACCTACAAAAACTATAAAGGTAATCACACAAATACTAACAATAAGAACCTTATTCAGTTTGTTAAATTATATGTAACATACAGAATTTGTATTTCTTTTTTTCTACATAATATGAAGATATAAAACTAAAACATGGAATAAAAATTTGCTCAGGATGTCATTTACAGCATTATCTTAAAACAATAAGGAATTAAATTCAGGTGAAGAAATTCAAACATCATTGCAATTTTATACATTTTTAATAAAATACACAATTATTAGGGTAAATCACAAATGAAAAAAAAAAACCTATTTGGAATGTCTATACAACAGACAATATATTTTCTGAAATCCAAGCATGCCATGTGGCATACTAAAGGAAGCATGATTCAAAAGATATTGATCAATAATCCAACTAGTAAGCACCTCAGAAGAAAACATCAGTAATAATGGCAAGATAGTCAATACAAATATAAGAATGATAGATAGAACAGAAACATTCTAGACTGCTACTGTGATAAGAAGAGGGATAAATAGAACCAGTGACAGGTCTCAACGGCTCTTAAGGCAAAAAAATATCACAAATAAATGCCTAAATAATAATTTACTCACCAATTCCAAAGTTCCTTGGTCTTTTTTCAAACAAAGGGTTAACAACTTTCTGTTTAACCACTTTTTTGGGTTTTTCACTCACAAGAGGTGCTGGAGCAATTTTCGCCTTCTTCCCAACTTTTTTATTCGCACCTGGCTGAAATAAAAATTAATAAAATTAAATGAGCATATAATCAAACAAATTTTAAAGAAACAAAGTTTAAAAAAAATATTAGAAATAAATTATGATAAAAATGTTTATTAGTTGATGAGGCAACTCAAATTTTAAACCTAATCTCTAAATAATATAGTGTTATACATTTTTATTCGTAGAATCGGTAATACTTAAAAAAATTCAACAAATATACTAAACGTATATTACATTTAACATAAAAAATTACCTTTTTTGGAGCCATGATGACAAAAAGCTTAAAGATTAACTAGATAAATGAGGATGTAAATGTGAACAATCGGAATGGGAATGGAAGACACTCACTTCCGTGCGAACCGTAGCGAAAAAAGAAAAGTTTTAGGTTATGTTGACATGGTCAACAGGAATACGAATCACAACACTGCGTTTGTATAAATCATAGAAGAAAAGAAGTATGGCATAAATTCCTTCATGGAGTGATAAAGGAAAAAAAATTGATAGTACATTAAGTTGTGGAGCTGATAATTTATTGTTGATATGGGACGGTAAAATACTTAACAATTATATAGTTTTTGTCTTATGCATTAATATAATTTTTATATTAATATTTCTATATCAATAAACTGCAGTATTGTTAATTCGCAGCAATTATCTAGTTGATAAATTAAATATTGTAAATGTATAGTTAATAATTATTTTAATAAATTAATCATTTAATTTTTATTAATTAAATTGCTGTAAGAAAATTGTTTGCTTATAAACATACAATTTTTAAACAAATTTTTGAGTAATATATAAAATTAAATTTAACACCTATGTCTACTTCAATGTCGGTTACAAAATCTTATACAAACCGATTAAAAAGTGATGTGAAATGCATGTTGGAAAATTTTGAAGGTAATAAATAATTTATATTAAACGCAATAGAATTCATTTATAATGACACTCATATTGGTTACAAATTTGAGTCTATAACTCAATGTTAAATGATTCTAGTAGTGTGCAAGTTCTGTATTCAACATTGGGTAGAATTACATCATGTAAGATGGTTTCTTTAATGTTTTAAATGGATTTTATCATTTATACAATTTTATGTGAAATAGAAGTCTTAACTTTTATGTTATTTAATTTACATATTACAGTTATGCAATAATATAAATTGTGTGATTAGTTCAAAACCTCTATTATTATAATATAATCTATTATTTTGTTTATTTTGAAATACTTATTTTATCTTTTATCATATAATACTTATAATTATAAATATGCAAACTTGAAATCATTATTTGAAAAAACAGTCTTACTGAACTATTTTCTAATCGTATATTATTATTATTTTATGTGCATATTTGTTAAAAATTAATCAAATTATTTTATTTTAGGTCAGTGCTTCACAACAGGGGCTATATCGCTCCTTGGTGGGTGGTGAGCTTGTTTTGGGGATTAGGGAGGGAGGAATAGCGAGCGGTGAACTTTTTTCCATTCAAAGCAATGCAGCAAGATTGATCAGTAATTGTTTCCCGTTTATCGATTTCTAAAGATATTCGTGATTATGAAATATAAACTACATAATAAGTAGGTATATTATACCAGAGATAGTGTGTTATTATAATGAATAAAAAAAAAATCGACTAGACATCATCAAAATAGGAGGCTTACGCCTTTATCTCACAAACTTTGAACCAAACGTAAAAAAATTGGCTTTGAATCACCAAACACAACCATCTTACTGATCAATACATTTCAAAACATTTAAATATAAATTTTACATTTTATTTTTACTATATTTACATTTATATATATATATATATATTATTTATTATTCAATTATAAACATTTAATGTATACTATTTTTTTTTTAATGAAGTAAAAGGTGGGAGGGCATTAAAAAACATTTTGCTTCTTAGGGGGTGAAAGTTTGAAAAAGGTTGAGAAGCACCGTTGTAGATTATAGGCAATTGATATTAAAGATTTAAATAAGTAATTTAATATTTTTTTTATATATTTAACATTTTACAAAATCGAGTATAAGTTATGTTTTATGGTCATTGAATCATATATTTATCTGTGAGCTTTCTGAATAATTAACCAAACATAAAATAGTTATATAGATATTGATATTTTTTTATACATTTACTAAACAATTGAAAAAACTGTATTATTATCGTTAGAAAATTATATTACTATATAAAATCCCTGAATGAAAAAATTATAACATAAATAATAATAAATAATAATTTAAGAAATAAAGAATAATGAATAATAATAATGACATTTTTAATTACTATTTCACATAAACTTAAATTAATTTATACACTACAATTTAGCTCCTATTTTTTAAATCCAAGTTAAGATATTATATTATAACTTGGAGTTTATAATAATTAATATTTTAAATTTACAGCAGTATTTTCTATTGTATTTAAATATAAATATGTATTTTTGTTTTTTTTTTGTTTTTAGGTATCGTCAAACTATGTAAGACTGATGATGATCAAACACAAGTTTCCAAAGCAACTCGTAGTGAATTGATTGCATTTGAAATGGAAGTCAGAGCAGCCAACATCGTTCGTGCTGGGGAATCTCTTTTAAAACTTGTTTCAGATATGAAGCAATACCTCATTTTAAATGACTTTCCATCTGTTAATGAAGCCATTGCCCAAAATTCAAAACTATTTCGTACCAAACAAGTTGAATGTGATCGCAAATTAACAAGTCTAGTTGATGATATGTCAACAGAATTATATGAGCTTGAAGAAGAATATTATACATCAAATTATAAATAAAGAGGAGGTCTATATATTATCAATTTATTTTATTAGATGAAAAGTTTTTAACAAAAATTCCCCCCAGCCATATTTATAATGTATTATTAAATAAATTATCAACTATTTTTAAAGAACATAAAAATACAAAAATAGTACAATAACAAAAATTGCCGCTACTGTAAGTTTCACATACATTGATTTTAAGTTGAGATTAGTAGCTTCTTTTTTGTATTTTTTTGATAATATAGATAAATTTTGTGCTTTTGTATCAAGTTCTGAAAAATATAATTAAATAATTATTTAATTTAATATATACCTATGTATAGATATATTATTATAATAAAAAGCAATATGCATATTTTACATGATTATTGTTTTTTTTTATAAAATTGTTATGGTTAAAAAATTGTCTATCTATAATACATAATTAAGTGAAATCATGAAAACTAAAATAGATACACAATTACATTAATTAAATAATAATGATTCTACATATTATATCATTGTACTAGATCTGACTTGTTTATAAGAATTAAAAATTTCAAAGGTAAATTTCATTTGAAAAGTCCTCTGGTTTATTAAAATAATTTTAGGTCTTGTATTCAATTTTATTCACTACTAATTAGTTTTACTTGGGATAAATAATATTCCTGTAAATTATTTTGTTGAATCTATATAACATATTTGTTCATGTACACAAATAATAAAATATTTTTATTTTATTTAGATTACAAACATGAAGTAATTGAACAACTTTAGATTAAATGAAGTCGATTTCAGAAATATTGAATTTTGTGGTTATTTATAAAAATTTACATAATATAATCTTTAGAGTATTATGAATAGGGCTGGAATTTTAATGCACTAAAACAAAAAAAAAAATGCTTTTGTGACCAAAAAAACTCTAAATAATACACTTAAAAAAAAGCACTAAAATTTTTATTTTTAATAATTTTAGTATAAATAAAATTATATAAACTATAATAAAAAGTTAAAATAACAGAAAAACTCATAAAATGCATTATAAAAATTACATTAAATGTATTCAAAAAATATATTACAAGTGTATTTAGTATAGTATTAGTATAAATTTAAAAAAAATTGTGCATAAAACTAGATATTATACTCATGTATTTTGTTTAATCTAAAATAACACATCGTTTTACACTTGTTATCTAAGTTTTGACGAATTTCAACAATTGTCCAATAATATAATTCAAATTATGAGTACCTTCTTATAATCTGTTTTATTTATATATAAACCATGTCGGAGTTAAAATCTTAGAATAAAATTTCTTATTCATATTTTGTTTCCAAAAAATTAAGAAAATTACCTAAATACTAAAAAATGCAAAATAAACTTTCTTATTTTCATTTAAAAGCACATAAAATAAATATATGACAGTATGAGCATCACAAGTTAGCTTTGAAAAACAATACAAAATGTATTGAAATTCTAGCTTTAATTATAAATGATAAAATTACATGTGTTATATATTAATTCTTTAAATGTCTATTTTGGTAAATTAACTTAAATAAATGATTATATTATAAATGTTGAATTAATGAATTATAATATACAACAAATTATAAATTACACATAGTTGACAGAATAAAAATGAATAATTATTTATTATTATTGTAGGAAAAAGTGAATAGCACTATATTAATAACTTAATAATTATTCTTTAATGTCAAATAAATTAAATATTGTTTTAACTGCTATTTCTAATAAATTGTAGTGCATAATAATTAAATAATAAATAATTTATTTATGAAAGATGATTAATCATTTAGACTAAAGAGTATTTATACATGTCAGTATTAGTCATACTATTTTACTATTCATAAATATTTTAAAGCAATTATGAATCATTGTAATAATAAACTGATTTATGATAAAGGTCTGAATAATACAAACAATGTATATTTTATTTTTATATAATTGTAAATTAACTGATTCACAAATATAATTTTATTGTAATAATTGAATGTGATATAAATTGTACACTTCAAATAAAAAAAAATACTTATAAAAAAAGTATTACCTGACAAAACAGTGCCTCTTTGTAATACATCATCAATATTTTGAACCATAATTCTTTGAACATCTTGGAGTTCATTATTTATTGAATTTAAATTTTTACGTACTCTGGAATCTATGTAATTTTTTTTTGCTTTTTGAATATAGTTATCTATAAAATAAAATTGTATTCATTATAACTAATAAATGAAAAATATTTTACTTAGACAAATATTCATTTTATCAAACAATTTTACTAAAGACAACAATATATATTTCTTTTTAAGATATTAAATACAATACCAAATTCAATAAGTGTATAAGGTCGTGAAACAGTTGATACTTGGCGTCCGTACAGTCTATTAAACTCAGCTGCTATATCTTCTAAAAAACCAAATGCTGCTCTTTTTGAGAAGTTTTTTTCACACAAAACTAAGTAACTAACATCTTTTTCAATTATGTAGCTGAAAAAAAAAAGGAATACGTATACACCATAGTAGTAATATTTAAAATAAATATTTTAATAAAACTTACTGAAAATAATAAGGAACAGATTCAATGGTACATTGCTTAGGAGATTGAAAGTTTAATTTCTTAAACAATAATTTTGCTTGATTTTGATACTCAATTAATTTTCTTCCAAACTATATGATTATTAAAAACAAGATTATGAATTATAAAATTATTTTTTTATATGTTAAATTGTTCTTCAACAAATGTAATGTTTTTGCAAGACACCAAATTTACCTGTTCGTCATCTTGCATGGATGCAGCTAATGGTAATCCATCAGGAATTCTTGCTATCATAGTTAAAAGAACCATATTTATACGTGATTTAATTAAGTTACGAATGAAATTACATCCAAAGTTTAATTTAAACACAGTTAATTTTTAGTTGAAATATAAAATTTGTACGTGTCCGGAACATTGTTATTTATTGTTATTATCATTGATTTTGCGATAAGATATTTTGACACGTAACTCTGTATTATCATTATTATTCAGTACGGTATAAAAAAATATTGTACTCGTGGGCTCAATTTTCACGTAAATAAAGTATAGTTACCAGAAGACATAATTCTGCTCAGAACAATAGTCCAGTAATAGTCTGGTAAACTACTACTTTTTTTATAATATCCGATAATGCTATTGCTATTTTGTAATAACAGCTGATAATATATAATATTTATCATTAATTTTAAATTTGATATTTAAATATCACCTCATGTATATTCAAAGAGTAAGAGTTACTCTATGTGTCAGTGGCGTATACAAGGGGGGGTGATTGTTAGATATGACATCCCCATTGAGTCGTATCATATATTACATTATTATAGGAATATAGGTAAATCGATAATACAATATGAAATATAGAATAATGCACAATACTAATTACATATATACAGGTTAACATTATCGCAATTGCGACAATACGTGACGAAAATTATTCGTTTACGTTTTTGTGCAACACAAAACGTTTAATAATAATAGGTATTGTAGCATCGAATACTGATATTCGAATAATTTATTGGTAGAACTATCCGAATTCGAATATACATTACATCTCTATTACAGACATTATGTCAAAATTTTCTTTGGAAAAAATACCCATTTGGGCAATATGTATAAAAATTAATTTTTTTTAATTTTTTTTTTTTAAATGCTTTTAGTCTGGTATTTAACTAAAATATTGTTGACTAAATTTTTTTTGAGTTAGCAGTTTTTCCGGAAAAACTTAGGAAAAGGTGGTCTTTATAGTGACCACCACCAAAATAAAAGGCTTTTTTTGAATAAAATGTTATAAAATCCAAAATATACTTAGTAACTTTAATAACAAATTAGGTATATGAGTACCATAAGAAGGATATAAGAAAATATTGTGATATTGTTTGATGTACCTATGTATAAGCTGATAATAAGGTGGTTAGTATACTGACCACTGTCAAAAAAATAATAAAAATAATTTAAAAGGTGGTTAATATAGTAACCACCGCACTTGAAAGGTAAAAAAAAAAGTGGTTAGCATACTAACCACTGACCCTCAAAGAGTTAAAATAAAAGTTTTAGTTTGTACGTATTATATATAATATTTAATAATTATAATTAACACCCCCCTTCAGAAAATCCTAGCTACGCCACTACTATGCGTATATTATACCAAATAGTCTATTACAGTGTTTCTCAACCTTTGTATAATGGCGACACATTAATAAAATTTTTCATATTTTGCGACACATAATAAAAAAATAAGAATAATAGATAGTATTAAATATTTATAATTAGTTAATAATATATAAACTTATAATATATAATCAATTATAATATATAAAACAACAAAGAAAAATATAACATAGGTAAAACAGCATTTTAATGAGAAATTTGTGACTGATATTTTTTACATAATGTATCAATTCGTGGTGAAATCTTCGATAAGGCGACTCTTAACTCCTCTTCGACATTAATTAATCTTTCCCTTTTTTTGTTTTTAATTTCATTCAAAGCAGAAAAAGCTACTTCGCACAAATATGATGTCAAAAATGGTAATAATACGGAATGAGCCAATTTTGTTAAGTTCGGATATTCTTTTTTTGTGTAAATCCAAAATTGGCTAAGCTCGAGCTCATAAAATTTCATTTGAAGAGTACGATCGTTTTTTAATTTTGCAAGTTCTTCTTCCTCTTTTAATGAAAGATGTGAGGTTTCTAAACTAGGATTAAATGGATTCCTCACCGAATCAAATAATTTCAAATCCAGCGATGAAAAATAATGATCAAGTTTTTGGTCCAATAATGTTATTGAGTCATTGATAATTGGTATTATTTTATCAGTAAATTTAGTATTAGCAGTTAAAGGAAACATATCCAAATTATTATCATTTACCATTCTTTTCCAAATCAATAATTTGCCTTTAAATGCAGCCATTTTGTCTGTAGATATTAATAAATTTTGATTTTCACTTTGCATGCTTAAATTTAATTGATTCAGGTGTTCAAAAATATCAGCTAAATATGCTAATTTTGAACACCAAAATTCATCGGATAAATAATCGGAATATTCCATTTGCTCCATTGTAAAATATACTAAAAGTTCTTCTCTAAGTTCATAAAAACGTGATAAAATTCGCCCTTTTGATAACCAACGTACTTCTGTATGAATAATCAATGTATAGTGGTCAGATTCCATTGATTCACATAACTGGGAAAATAATCGAATTTTTTGAGGTCTACTTTTAATAAAATTCACCATTTTTTCGACTTGATCCAGTACAATCTTTAATTCATTAACAATACTTTTTGCTACTAATGCCTCCCTGTGTAAAAAACAGTGTATTGTGTTTATATTTGGATTTTGATTTTTGGCAATTGTAATAAATCCTTTAATAGAGCCTGTCATTGATGGCGTCCCATCTGTAAAAATACTTACACAAGAAGTCCACGGTATACCATAGTTTTTAAAATATTTATTTATAACATCAAAAACATCTCGACCAGTTGTTGTCCCAGATAATTCTTTACAACAAAAAAACTGACTAACAATTTTTGAATTTTCAAAAAATCTAATAAATGCCATTAATTGAGCTTTCCCACTTATGTCTGTTGACTCATCAACATGCAAGGCAAATAATTCTCCACTTTTTATAACTTCAATAACCTGCTCCTCAATATCCTCTGATATATTTATAATCCTACGACTAATTGTACTATCAGATAATGGTATTTTAATTATTTATTTTTTTGCTTCGACTCCTAATATAGTCTTTACCATAATACGACAAGCTAGCATAATAAGACTCTCGGCAATTAAATGAGATTTTTTTGTTTGAGCTATCAATTGGGCGATACGAAAACTAGCTTCCTGTGCCTTATCCGAAATTTTCACTGATCTTACAAATTGTTTTGATTGTAGTTTTTTTGAATCTAATAGTCTTCGAAAATAATCAATTTGTTTATTTTGTAACGATTGATGTTTTGTGGTGAAATGGCGGGTTAGCTTATTGGGAACCATTGATTCATTCGACAATTTTTCGTCACAAATAAAACAATAAGGAATAGGACAATGTTCGTCGCCGACCCAAAAAAATCCTAATTTTAAATAATTTTTATTGTATTGACGATATTTACCTTTGAATTTTTTAGAAGGATTTTCTTGTATTTCTTTAAAACTTGATGATGCATTTACAGATGACGAGTTTTTTTCTGTTTCCAAATTGTCTTCATCTGTATTCTCTCTTACTACTTGTATTTTGTATTTTTTTAATCAAAAATTTATCCATTTTATTTTAACAAAAAAATATTGTTGTTAATAAATTAAGAAAAAGTCTATTCGACTATAGAAGTAAATGACAACTGAGCATATAAGTAAAGTGAGTTATTGATACGGTGCATGTTTTCAGTATAAATATACTAACGTATTCACTGTTTAAAAATAAACGAAAATATCAAAAACCAACGTTTATAAATTATGATGACACACAATAGGCGATTCGAGCGCGATTAATCGTTCAAAATGACGATAATAATAATAACCCAACGATAATAATACAATTTATTTTATGTCGATAGCTGAAAATCTATTTTTATTATCATGGAAATTATATTAAATACCTATTAATTTTTGTAAATAGTTAATAGTGTTAATAATGTTTTTTGTCATTTAATATTAGTACTTCACGCGACACATTTGGACTTGCTCGGCGACACACCGGTTAAGAAACACTGGTCTATTAGATCATTATATATAAATATTGATATATAATATCTGAGCATACGATAAGCTTCGATAACACACGCATTATCAATTATCTCATGTCACAGATATATAGAATAAACTTATTATATCTGTAATTACATCTTGCCGGCCGCCAAGATGTTACTGCTATAGCTGCTATTGAGTATTCTAACTTCTAATATAATAGTAGCTATAAAACAGTGTAGGAAACTAGGAAAAAATAAAAACCAAAATTCAAAATTTAGCAATCACTGCTATTGTTGACACTGAATAACAGTCTGCGATTGCAATTGTAAAATAGCAGTGCTATTTAAACGGCTACTGATATTTCTTACCATCACTACAATAGTCTACTTTCTTGTGTTAAACTATAAATTTCGTTTACAAAATGTATTGAAGTGTCATTAGATGAATTAAAGCGATTTGGTATCGTATTTCCTCAAAATGTAGTTTTACCTAACCTAAACCTCCTCAATTAAGATTCATCTAGAGCAAAAACCAATTTTTGTTATAAATTGTAGTTATTTACCATATCCACACCACACAAAGTTAATGTCTGGCCTTGCGCTTTGATTATTGTCATTGTTAAACAAAATTTTGTTGAAAACTGAACTCTTCTAAATTAAGCTAAAAAATCGTTGTGGTATAATGATATTTTTATCAACATTTCAGTTTCAATTGATAATTAATTACAATTTTTGTAAAAGAGATGAATCTAAATCTAAACCTATAACAAAACCTTGGAGAATTCAAATTTCTTATAATATGATTGGAACTTCTGCTTTCTGACATATTTTTTGAGGAGACATACCAAAACGTTTGTGAATTTAAGAATTCTGTAGGAAAACTTACTAATTCGCTGTAGATGACAATATCGTAAGAAAATTAATCCATCACGGTTATAACTGAAATTATGAATAAAATGAAAATGTGATAAAGTAAGTCCTAGTAGTATATTTGGTACAATCTTATGAAAAAAAAAAAATCGTTAAATTATTTAAAAAACACGATACAAAACCGTTATCTATAAATAAAATCCATCTTTCCCTCACATCAGACAAAAAAAAAAATTAGGAGATGAGATGACATTTAGGCATAGGCGCACATAGGGAAGTACTTAGCACCCCCTTATTTAAAATTAGTACCCTCAGTTTCTTAGAATATTTATTTCAGTATTTCATCAATAAATTCTAAATTATTGTGGTTTATTGAGTTGGACATTTTTTTTTCCACTATAGACAATAATATACAATTAATATACAATATAGTTAACGAATACACGATTAAAACAATATAATTGTATAATTGCACGTTTTACTGTTTCAGTTTTTGTCTGACTATTTAACTATAAACAGCAATCAAAATATTACAGAAAATCATATTATCTTACTTTATATTTTTATATTATCTACGGTTTAGGGTTGGCTACGAAGTTATGTTCAATTTATAACTTTGATTATAACCTTGTTTTTAGTAATATTTAACCAGTGAGCTATGCAGAATTGTATGCGGAATGACAAATATTATTACCAATCATACAAACGATATGATTCATTACTATTTACATTTTATATACTAGTTCAAATTTTTGATATATCAGATTATTTTGAATATATCAACAGTTAGTTTATCTGCAGAAATGCTGATCTTAAAGAATAGTCTACTAGCCAACTTTGAATTTGTAGACTTGAAAAATCAATGTAATAAAAGTTCGTTGCCAAATGTTTATAAGCTAGTTCAAATGGTAATGACAATTTCAATTTCTTCTTCAACGTGTGAACGCTCCTTTTCAGCTATGCGTAGATTTAAAAATTGGTTACGTACTAATATAGGCCAAGAAAGATTTATTAAGCTATCTACGCTTAGCATTGAGAGAGATTTTACCAATAAAATAGATTTGAAAATTATATTGAAAAAATTTGCATCATCAAACAGGAAATTAATTCTTATTTAACATATTATTATAACTTATAATATAATTACTTTTAAATATTCATTAATAAAAATTAAAAATTATGGCAACGCAGTTGATTATATTATTAGGGGGTATGGGGGGCAAAGCCCCCCCACGAACCTGTGTATTTTAAATTATTCCAGCACCCCCTGAATTCATACACAATGTGCGCCTATGCACTTAGGATAGTATTTAAAACAACTATACGAAAAAAAAATTGGAAAATTGTTAAATAATGTCATCACAAAATTGGAACATAAAAAAGGACTATTTATTTATATACAAATATGGATAATAATATAATTATTAATTCACAATTTAATTATTATTATAAACATATATTTATAAAATCACTTATAATTTAAAAATATTTAAAACCTTCCCGTAAAGATTTGAAAATATGCCACTGACTCTAGTATTCAATAATTTCAATTAAAAATATACTTTTTGGTCAATTTACTTATTAATTAGGACTCCGATGTTTATCGGATTGTGTGATTGTTATCACTTAGTAAATTTTTGTACCGTGAAAAACTTCGTTCAACATCAACTGCATAGGCGCAAAATCTAGGGGGGGGGGGCTACAGCCCTCTTACCAAAACTTAAAATAACCTGTAGTTTACCCCTACTCTTATATACCAAGCTTATATATTTTAGATTCTGAGCCAATTTGAATTTAAGGCAATGTGTCTTTTTTTGTATGTGACATTATTGTGAGTTAAGTATGCTGTGTGTGGTATCCCATGAATAACATGGAATATTTATGGGGGGGGAGATTAATTTTGGCCTAAGCCTCCCATCCCTCAAGTTGCGTCTATGATCAACTGATGTTATTGGAGCATATTTAAATAATGCAAGGTCCTCAATTTTTAAATCTTCTTCTATTCCATCAATAGTATTAAATTTACCGGAATGTATTTTCAAAATTTATACCAAAGTTTTAAGTACATAATATTTTTCAATTACGTTCTGAAATTTGTTCTATACCTATTCTTTTCCTACTTTTCCATTAGCCATTTTGAGGGTTTCTCTTGTATTATTGACCACTTCAAATGATTCTATTTTAGTTATGTTGATTGGTAAACATCTGAAATTTGACTTAATGTATGTTAAGTTTGGACCTAAATTAAATTCAGTCATAATCTTAATACTTTTTTCGATTGAAATTGCGTCATCTGGATTCAATTTTGAAAATATATTTTGTATATTTGTAAAATTATCTGAGTAGTAAAATGCTGCCTTTAACCACGTTCCCCAGCGGGTTATTATTGGAACAGGAGAAAAATAAATACCAAAGTCTTCTGTTTTAAAAATCTCTAAACGTGATAGGGCTTTCAAAAATACTTTTTTTACATTTAACACAAGTCCGTCTACATTATTGAATTTTCCACAAATTGTTTCCTCAATTCTATCATGTGCATGTACAAGACAGGTGACAAGCATCATTTTTGAATAAAGTGCCTTTGCAGATTTAACCATATACTCGTACGTATTGTGCGACATCAGTAACAAATAAAATAATATCATCGTGATGAATGCCTGCAGGCTTTAGATTGATCAAAAAGTTTACTTATTGTTGAATAATTTACTTTATCTAACTCTTCGGAGGTCAATAAAATCAATTTACCCGGTGTACTTTTATCAAGATACCAATGATCACATTTGCGACATAGCGGTCTTCGCAATCTGTTGTTTCGTCTATAGACTCGAATGTTGTTTTGCCAATGACATTATTCCTAATGTTTTTTATTGTTTCTTCATAGCAATCAGTCAAATAATTTTTGCGTTAAGTTGATTCATCTGGTATTTCTTTACTAGTATATTGTAATAAAATATTACGAAATATTGTATTATTTACTTTGCGGAAAGGAATGTTGGCTACTAAAAACGCTCCGCACATACCCAAGTAAAATTATGATTTTTTTACCGACCACACTGGAAATTAGTTGTTGTGACTGAGTTTATTTCTGTCGATCAGCTGTACGAATATCAAGCCGTCTTTAAATGTTGTTCGACGGTAAAACGACGATCACTTCCGACTTAAGTTGCACACACCTTACAATATAAAACTAAGTCATCCGTTGAAAAAATGTCATTCCCAAACTCGTTAAAAAAATATTTAAGGAGTATTGAACAGGATGACTTGACTTTCGGCATTTTTAAATAAAATTGAAACTAACCGGTGAAAAATATAATACAGGCTTCAACTGACACGATGATGAAATTCGTACTAATGCATTGTCCGGTTGTCGCCGTAGGTATACAAAATTCTATTATTGCTATATACGTTAGATAAGTCTATAATAATTGATTTTTAACTAAA